GTCCCACCTGTCATAATTAGAAATGTTCCCTGGCTAGAGTCAGCAAATATCATTATGTGGGTTAGCAGGCAGCTGAAATCCAATTAGAGGGGCCTCACTTCATGAGCTGTGGCAGGTGTTCAGAATTGGCAGCCCGAGCAGCAGGGGTGCTTCCCAGTAGTCCCCACCCCAATAATATTCCTAAGTCCCATCCCCAGCTTCCAGTGGGGTCTAAAGGGTCATCAGAGCATAGCATGTGTCTGATAGGGCTTCTGACTGTCTAGAGGAGGCATGGGCTTGGTGTACCTGGCAGGCTACAGGTACAACCAAGGTTCTGCAGAGTTCCAGCCATGCTCTGCCTCATTCCGGCCATGTGACACTGGACAGGAGACCTCTTTGTGCCTCAGTTTGGCCAAAATCTAGTATTGAGTTCATGTGGTTGAGTGGAGACTCCCAGGGTTGGGCACCTGGAAAGTGCTTGGTAACCATTTGCAGCTGCCGTGAGCTTCATCCCTCTCAAACTTGCATCTCCTTCCTCTAGACCTCCTGCCCCCTGAGGTCTGCAGTCTCCTGAACCCAGCGGCCATCTATGCTAACAACGAGATCAGCCTTCGTGATGTTGAGGTCTATGGCTTTGACTATGACTACACACTGGCCCAGTATGCAGATGCGCTACACCCCGAGATCTTCAATGCTGCCCGTGACATCCTGATTGAGCACTATAAGGTACTATAAGGTACCTGGCAGGGTTCCGGGCCTGGAGTCCTGACCCAGGCTGTGCATAGAGCTTACCTTGGAGGTGACTGCCTACCTAGCAGTTCCAGCAGTGCTTCTGCCTCAGGCCTGCCCTGCTTTTCTCCTGACAGTACCCAGAAGGGATTCGAAAGTATGACTACAACCCCAGTTTTGCCATCCGTGGCCTCCACTACGACATTCAGAAGGTAAATAATTACTCTTTCTGGCCTCGACTGACTGGGTGTGTATAGGGCTGCCTGTGGCCCCTCTCGCCTTATAGAATGTTCTTATCTGCATACTCCATTGGCCTCAAAACTAGTTTCCTTTTGGTGCGCACGTGGGGGCTGGAAGAGGCTGGCTCAAGACCAACGGCAAACTCCCCTCACTGCCCACTCTGCTTCCTTGATGCCCTCAGAGCCTTCTGATGAAGATCGATGCTTTCCATTACGTGCAACTGGGGACAGCCTACAGGTCAGTGCTGACTGCCGGCACCTTTCCCAGCCTGCTGTGCCACGTCCACACTGTCCTGCTTCACCGCACTGTCCCCTATCCTATTCTGTGGCCTGGGCTCAGGACTGTTTTTGACTGATGGTCTGTCCACAGGGGCCTCCAGCCTGTACCAGATGATGAGGTGATCGACCTGTATGGAGGCACTCAGCACATCCCACTGTATCAGATGAGTGGCTTCTATGGCAAGGTACTTGCTCCGTCTGCCAGTGCCCAGGGCAGCCCAGTGAGTGATCTCCCTGTGGGTACTGGCCCCCTGGGAGGCAGGGCCTACACCCCAGTGGCCCATCCCTGACCCACAAATAGCACCCCTCCAGCAGTGTCCCAGGGCAGACTCAGAGCTTTTGATCACCCAGGTTGGGGTGGAGAGGTGACTAAAGTGGTCACCCCCACCACCACCAGGGTCCCTCCATCAAGCAATTCATGGACATCTTCTCACTGCCTGAGATGGCACTGCTGTCCTGTGTGGTAGACCACTTCCTGGGCCATGGCCTGGAGTTCGACCAGGCACATCTCTATAAGGATGTGACGGTGAGGAGACTGGGCCTGCCCCTCAGAGTAGCAGGGAAGGTGTTCCACTGCATTCACTGTTTTCCCACTGCCCCCCAGGATGCCATTCGAGATGTGCATGTGAAGGGCCTCATGTACCAGTGGATTGAGCAGGACATGGGTAAGGGTGGACAGTGACCCTGCTGTGGCCTGCCTGGTGGGGTGAGGGCTGGTCCTCATCGATCCTTCTTGCCCTTAGAGAAGTACATCCTGAGAGGGGAGGAGACATTTGCCGTGCTGAGCCGCCTGGTGGCCCATGGGAAACAGCTGTTTCTCATCACCAACAGCCCTTTCAGTTTTGTGTAAGTCCCTGTCTCACCGACAGAGGAGGGAGCAGAACAAAGGCCTGGGTGGGGGTGGGCAGACCTGGAGCTGCCCTCAGACCTGCTGGTACCTGTCCCACCTCTACTCAGGGACAAGGGAATGCGGCACATGGTGGGTCCCGACTGGCGCCAACTTTTTGATGTGGTTATCGTCCAGGCGGACAAGCCCAGCTTCTTCACTGACCGGCGCAAGTATGGGTCTGACGGGCAGTTGGGCTGGGAAGCCGGGTCTGAAGCCATCTGGTCTCTGCTAACCACCCTTTGTGCTTGGGTGGGCACAATCTCATGTGGGCAGATGGGTGTGCAGAGGAGAGTGTAGCCCATCTGTACCCTTGCCACAGACTGGAATTTAAGCCCTTCATCTCCACCTCACAGGCCTTTCAGAAAACTCGATGAGAAGGGCTCGCTCCAGTGGGACCGTATCACCCGCCTGGAGAAGGGCAAAATCTATCGGCAGGTAAGAGCCATTTAGGTGGGAGAAGTACCTGGTTGGGGGCACACATGAGATAGCAAAGACCCAGTTTGTGGAGACGACAAGATGGGGCACAGCCTCTGGGCACGGAGCAGCCACCACACAGCTGCCGTGGGTCCAGTGCCTTGTCACATGGCCTTGGGTGTAGCAGCCACCAGGTAATAGTTATCAGGGTGCAGTTATCTTGGTCAGTCTGCCTACATTAGCATTCTGCATTTGAATTCTATCGTTTTCTCTGACAGAGTTGTAATAGAAGCTCTTAAATTGATCATTCACTAAGTAATGGCACCTTTATTATTTGGGGCTTAGTACTGTGTTGCAGCCTAACAAGCCTTAGTTGGGGGTCCTTTGACTGAGCTCACAGACCTCTGAGGAGGACCCTTCTTCCTAACTGGAAGGGCTACTGGTACTGGGGGCCAGGGCTATGAGCAAGAGGTGTTTAAGGCATTTGGCCCTGAATGCAATGTGGAAACCCTACCTCAGCTGGGTCTCTTAGGGGTAGGAGCTCTGGAGGCTGGGAGTGGGGTGCTGCTCTGATGATTGGGCTTTTTTTTAACCCTCCTCTAAAACTCCTTGGGCATCTTCACTGAGCCTGAAGGTGGTCATCCACTTTCGTGGAGAACATGTGACTTTCTCTTCCTTGGTTGCCTTTTTTTTTGCCCGATGATCTAAAAATTCCGTTGTGTGTATGTTACAGGACTCTTAACTGAATCTCGTTTTTCTGTGCTCTCCCATTTCCTGTTGGACTGACCCTCAGGCTCTGCTCTGCCACTGACTCAGCACCTGCCCCTCAAGATTGATTCTTTCGGTTCAGGGTGTATTCTCAGCATTCCACCTTCTGCTGCTGCCCTCTGCGGTGGGCCCCCGCTCCTCAGTCTCCCCCCTCGAGCTTAGTTTATAGTGAACTCTTTCCTGACCACCTGTAGTTCCTGGCTTTCCTCGCCCTTGCAAGCACAACTGCTCTAACCATGCCTCCTTTTGGTGTAAATTCTTGCTTTTGTGGTGTGGGCTTCTGTACTTCCTGCTCTGGGTTCCCTCCATTTGTTCTCCCCTGGGAGCTTCCTTCTGTTGTGTTTGAGCTTGAGTGTTCTCTTATGTTTTCCAGTTTTCGAGCAGGAGGGGAGAGATGACCTTGAAGTAGGTCTGCCATTGGTTTGCTGGGTCCCTCTGGACCAGTCTGGGGAGGCCAGGAAGGACTTCAGGGCCACGGGGTTGCTGCTATAACTTGTTTCCCATAAAGACTGGACTCAATCCCTAGCCTGGGGTGAGACCACAGGGAAAGGAAGCACAGGGCACCATGCCAGGCCTACAGGAGACCTTCCTTCACCAGGCAGACCCCCACCCCCCCCACTTCCTGAGTGTGATGGGGAGGTTATAAGAGCCAGAGCCTGGAGGAGACAGTGAGGCCACGGGAAAGGGCAGCCCAGCATCCGGCTGGAGGGCCTAGCTGCCTCCGGGAATTTGGGAGAACTGGTGGATAACAAGGCCTGGGTTTTGCAGCCCCGTGGAAGCTTGGCATTGTTGGCTCAGCATTTTCCCTCTCTCCGTTCCCCCAGGGAAACCTGTTTGATTTCCTGCGCCTGACAGAGTGGCGTGGACCCCGCGTGCTGTACTTTGGAGACCACCTCTACAGTGATCTCGCGGTAAGGGGGCAGGATGGGGCCACAGGGGAGTGCAAGGGGGCAACCTCCCATGTAGCCCTGAAGCCTTCCCACCATCCTCCCTCCAGGATCTCATGCTGAGGCACGGCTGGCGCACAGGTGCCATCATCCCCGAGCTGGAGCGCGAGATCCGCATCATCAACACGGAGCAGTACATGCACTCGCTGACGTGGCAGCAGGCGCTGACGGGGCTGCTGGAGCGCATGCAGGTGCGGGGGCGGCTGAATATCCGGCAAGGGGCCGGGGCTGCCACCTGGCCACATCCGGTGTACATTTTGTCTCCCCAGACCTACCAGGATGCAGAGTCTCGGCAGGTGCTGGCTGCCTGGATAAAGGAGCGGCAGGAGCTAAGGTGGGCCGAGTGGGGCCGGAGTCCAGGCCCAGTCCCTCCTGGGCCCGCCCTGACCCCTGTGTCTCCCCAGGTGTATTACCAAGGCCCTCTTCAACGCTCAGTTTGGGAGCATCTTCCGCACTTTCCACAACCCCACCTACTTCTCCAGGCGTCTCGTGCGCTTCTCCGACCTCTACATGGCCTCCCTCAGCTGCCTGCTCAACTATCGTGTAGACTTCACCTTCTACCCACGGCGTACACCCCTACAGCACGAGGCACCGCTCTGGATGGACCAGCTCTGCACCGGCTGCATGAAGACGCCCTTCCTCAGTGACATGGCCCACATCCGCTGAAGGCGTCTTTATTGTCTGGGAACAGGTGCAGCCCCTCCTGCCCCACCCACTCTGGGCATTTGTTCAGACAGGCAATAAAAGTGGTGTCTCCCCTGCTCCTGCCTTCTCTTCAGCCCCAGCCACGTCACTTGACAGAGAGAATCCTCTGGGTGTCGGGGAAGTCATCCTCCAGGAGCGAGTCCTGTGGCAAGGACTGTGTGTGACTGAACCAAGACCAGGCCTGGTCCCCTCCCACACCTACTCCCCAGACTCACATCAAAGGGCTCGCAAAAGGCATCTTGGCTGCCAAAGACAGGGTTGGGGACGGAGACTAGGGTTGGACTAGTCCCTTCCTGCCATGGGGAAAAGTCATCCTCAGCATCATCTTCAGCCTGGGAAGAGAAGGGTGAGAGTAGTGAGGGGCCTCAAGATCAATGGAGCCCGATCCCCATCAACCCTAACCCCACTTTACCTGGAAGGCAGAGAAGCCAAAACCTGTGGCCTTGCCTCGGGCACGAAGGTAGAAGGCTCCAGCCACCAGACCAAGCAGGCCTCCGGCCGCTACCACAGCGCCCACACCTGCTGCCACTGGTGGGGCCTCAGGCGTTACTGCTGCCCGCTGCAAACACAAAGGGCTTCAAGGACCTGGCCAAAGCTGTCTTCCTGCCCCTTGCTATTCTGCCTCCCCCACACCCATAACTCACAGGCTGTGGGGGTGCCAAGAGAGGATGAGCCAGAGCATGGATGATGCCATTGAAGGCCATGATGTCCCACACAATGACACGGGTGACCACAACTGCCCCTGGGGCCTGTGGGGAGACCAGAGTCAGGCCCAGAGGGTGAGTGAGGGCTGGTAACAGTGGGGGAGGAGACCGCAGCCTGACTCACCACGGGGGTCCAAGAACTGTTGTCAGGGTCTGTATCACTTATAACGAGGCTGAGGCCTGAGTGGGCAGGGAGCAAGGTACCATGGCTGGCGTTGGTGCTCAGGAAAGCAATGTTGGAGGCATGCAGCTCCAGGTCTGGGCCACTCAGTGTCTGTGGGGAAATCAAGGCCTACTGGCCTAGGCTAACCGGAAGAAGAGGCAAGCCTTGCTCTACCCCACACCTACTGGTTACCATGTTATCCACAAAGCCTTCGTTAACAGGTACAAAGAGCGTCTTATAGGTGAGCTCATCGTTCAGAAAGTCCAAGAAGTCAAGACCCCGTGAGGTGGCATTGGCATAGCCCAGCAGCATCTGGTGGGTGGAGAGATGACTGTGAGCAGGCTCCCTTCCCAGGGGTCCCAACTATCTCACATTCCCACTTCTGAGGCCAGGCTCCTACGTACACCATAGAAGGTGGAGAAATTGGCAGTGGTGGCCAGTACATCAAGCAGCTTCCCATTGCACGTACTGGTCCCATCACCCACGAAACCATCACGGCATCGGCAGGCCACATCTGCAAGAAAGGCAGGTCAGTGGGTTGGTGGGGAGGGGCAGTGTCAGGGACTCGGGTGTGGTGGGGTGGATGCACCTTGCACACGGTAGCAGTAGGCGTCCCAGCGCTCCGACTGGTTCTCACGGGCGCCCAGGCTGACTGTGCCCACCTGACCGTCACCACAGTCTGCCGCAGGGAAAACAACGGGGTGGGCAGCAGAGCGGTTGGCCAGCCAGCCCACGAGGCACATGTGGAAACCCAGCTGTAGGGGCAGGAGGGGATGCTCAGACCCAAGGCCCAACTTGAAGGGCCCCACAGCCCTGGCTCCAGACTCCCCGGTTCTCCGTACCTGCTGGGCAGCAGAAAGCTGAGGGAGCGAAGCAAGAACAGCTCCTTGGGCCTCACACGCTGCTCTGGCCTCTGAGAAGTTCAGGCCGTAAGGGCCACTGGTGGCCTGGAGGTGGAAGACACCAGCCCGTTTCTCTGCAGAAGGGAGGGGGTCGTGGTCAGCCAGCCAGCCCCAAGGTAAAGCAGGGACACTGGGCCTGGGCAGAGAACACACCCTGGAAGTGCAGGTCCGTGCACACAGCATCCACGTGACAGGGCGGGGGCCGGTCCAGGCAGCGGTCCACCGGTGGCTCGGGCTCCTCCAGACACTGCAGCCCATCGCCCACATAGCCAGCATGACACTCACAGCGCCGTGTGTTCTGAGGACAGGAAGCAGAGGGTGCCCTTTGGGGACTTGGGGGGCTGTTCTGAGGGGCCTCCCCACCCTTCTGCTTAGCTCCTGCTTGCTTACTGGACCGGTGTTCAGGCAGTCGGCATGTTCGCTACAGCCTCCACGGTGGCCATCTGCGCACGGGTCGCGGGCCTGGCAGCTCCAGCCATCACCCTCGTAGGCCGGCAGGCAGGTGCAGGTGACCGCTGTGCCTACCTGGCTGCAGTTGGCATGCTCACTGCAGCCACCATTCCCATCCTGGCACAAGTCTGCCGCTAAGGGAGGGGAAAGAGTGGTTGACCCAGGTCATAAGACGGGTAGGACATTCCCAATGACGTCCCCGCCCACCTGCTCACCTGTGCACTCTTGGCCGTCCCCTTCATAGCCCAGGCTGCACTCGCAAATGTTCCCCTCTCGGCACACAGCCTGGGGTGCACAGGGTGGGGCACACACAGGCTGCACCTCTGTGCCCCGGGGCCCACCCCACAAATTCGTTAGTCACTGCCCTCTTGAGCGTCCCCTTCCCATCCGCCTCCAGTGCCCCCACCCAAGCGTGCAGCTGGGGTGTGACTGGCGTGTGCAGAGCAGGCACTGAGGGCCACTCACCCAGCTGCACCTCACAGCGTGGCCCAGTCCAGCCCTCTTCGCAGAAACAAGAACCAGAACCCCCAATGCCCTCATCACAACGACCATGAGAGGTACAGCGGCAGACTGGGGAGGACAACCAGGATGGAGTTGGCACAGGGCACTGAGGGAGTCACGGGGCAGGGCAGGGTAAGTTGGGGCTCACCTTGGCACTGGGGCCCAAAGGCACCCGGAGCACAGAGTTCGCATGCTGTCCCGGCAAACCCCGAACGGCATTTGCACTGCCCGCTGCCACTCATGCCATCCATGCAGACACCATGGTCACTACAGGGGCTGCTGGCACCACCTGGACAAGCTAGGGAACAGGGTGGGAGAATTGAGGTGCGGCTGGCAACGCTCAAGGTCTTCAGCCCAAGCGCACCAGCCACGCTTACCCACTAGCAGCCAGCGCCTCCTGGAGCAGCAGTCCCAGAGAACATCTAGGACCCCCAGCACTCCCACAGGTCCTGCACTGTCTGCACTCACCCTCTGGCCATCTGGAGCACATCCCCAGACCTGCCCCTGACCACCTTAACATTTTCTCAGGATAATGACCAGAACTGCACCCTCAGCCACCTGAGGAGCCAAAGGAGCCAGTCAGCGGGATCTGCAACCTTGGGTGCTCTCACCTCGGCACTCACTCCCATAATGACCAGGGCAACAGCTGGGCTTCCAGGTGGTCATGACACAATTGCGGTGGCAGCCCCTGCCCAGGCCTTGGGGCTGACCCCATAGGCTGGGCCGGCCCCAAACACTGCGTAGTGCCAAGGAGTGAATTGGAGGGGACGTCCAGAACTTCGAGTAGTAGCGCCAGCAGGCCTCGGGGCTGCCCTGGGCCAAGAGGAGTCCAGCTGCAAACAGTCTGAGCTTGGTGCCTGGGTCCTGCCCAACCCTGACCCAGCTGCCCCTTACCTGCTCCTGTGAGCCTTCAGGACAGGGTGGTTCCAGCCCACAGATACTGCAAATCTTCTGGAAGGAACGGAGCAAGGTCAGACGGGTGGACAGGACTGGTGGGCGGGCTCCCTGCCCGTTCCGCCTGTGCTGATGGCCTCCCTTACCAGTCTCAACGGTCGAGTCTCAAATCGGTCACAGCGCGCCCCAAGGCCAGGTGGCTCCAGTAGCTGGTCGATGCCATAGGCCAGGCCACCCTCAAAGAGCAGGTGTCTCTGCACAATGCGAGCATCAGCCTCACCCACCATGAGCTCACCCTGTAGGTGAAGGATATTGGGTACGTGGGAGTCACAGATGTACTGCAGCCTGCCCCCCACCACCACCTTGCCAGGGTCCCTGTCTCCCTCATTCAAGCCTTCTCAGACTCACCGGCCGGGCACGGCTGCAAGAGAAGGAAATGGGGGTCCCATGCATGGTACGGAGGGGGCCAAGGTTGGGCAGATCAGATGCGAAGGCCTGAGCAGATGGAGTCACAGTTGGAACCGGGCAGAGGGGCTGTGCAGTGCAGTAGGGTCCGAAGTCTGGGGTACACCCACCTCAACATTGCGGATGACATGCCCCCGAAGAATGGCTGCCAGCTTGTCACGGTGGTCCTCGTGGTATAGCCAGGCCTGACGGTCTGGTGAGAGGGCTTGCAGGGCAGCGTCTGTGGGCCACAGCATTGTGAGGGGCCGGTGGGACTTATCTCGAAGCAGAGGCAGGAGGCCAGCCAGCTGGTTGGGCAGAACAGAAGGGCCACAGCCACAGTCTCGTCAGAGGAGGTAGAGGAAGGCGGCTGGACAGCAGAGACCATGACAGGCCTGGGGAGCCAGGTGGCCATTCCAATGGCCACCTGCTAGCCACCCAGGCAGATACACGTGGACACACACAGGGATAACCCTGCTTGTCAGGTATGTGGGCACACACAGCACCCTAGGGGGCTCCTCATGCGGACACAGCTGCACAGGAGCGCGCGCGCGGGCTCACCAGGCGCAGGTTAGCACCCGGCTGGAAGTGCGCGGGCAGTGAGCAGGCGCGGCTCACACAGCCCGCCCGCAGGAGCAGTACCTTCACAAGGCCGCTGAAGGTCTTGTAACCGAAGCTCTCAGCGGCAGCAGTGACATTTCTCTGGAGAGAGATCACGAGCGTTGAGGTCAGGCCAGGAGGGCAGGGAGGCTCCCAGCTCCCTGCCTGCCTTCCAGCTCGGCTCGCAGGCCCGTACCAGGTCATACCCGTGGGATGGGGACGGCATCAGGCTCCCAGTGTAACGCGTCAGGTGGCAGCAGGACACGGTCGATGAAGTGCAGGACGCCATTCACTGCCTCCTGGTCGCTGCTCACCACGCGGGCGAAGTCATTGAGGTACAAGCTGCCCTGGGGGCGGGGTATGGGCTCTTGGGGGCAGGGCACTGGGCTGAATGAAGCCAGTTGGTGGGGGATGGGTGCTCAGGGTGCTGCAGGTCGGGGGCAGAACCTGGGTTGGGCTGGGTGGAGGAGGAGGGCAGTTCTCACCTCCCTCCCAGGGAAGCTGAGCATCTGTGTGGAAGTTGCCCCTGGACTGGCCCTCTATGGTGTTGGGTGGGGCCTGGACTGTGTTCACTCCTCTCACTGAAGCCCACCCTGCCCCAAGGGAGGTAGGACAGTGCTAAACACCTAGTGGAGGGCACCACCGTCAGGGGCAGGACTTGAGGACAGCTGTACCCAGGGCCCTCGGCAGGCTGGGTGGGGCGGGACCTGGGCTCACCCCCCTCTCGCTGAAGCGCAGCGTGTGCCCTGAGAGAGTGGTCACGTAGCCCTCCTCTAGCAAGTCCTGGCTCTGCAGCCGCCGGCATCCAACCACGTGGTAGCGGAACACAAGTTGGCGATGGGCCCGGATCCGAGCCAGTTCATCCTGCAGCCGAGGAGAGGCGGAGTGAGGAGGAGCCCTGACTGCCACCTTTGTGCACCAGTGCCCCCAAGTCCAGGTAGAGCAGCTCCCTCCCCAACAGGCTGCCCTACCTGTGACAGGTTGGCTATTAGATCAGCATGAGGCACAAAGACTGTGAAAGGCCCCTTGCCCTTGAGCTCTTTGTATTCCTGGGGGTGAGAGGAGTTAACCACGTCAATGAAGGGGGAAGGCCTCTGGCTCCCACAAATCTTTCAGAAAGACTTGGGCTGTGAGACTCTAGGTCATCCAGCCCCCTGGCCATATGAAGACAGCCCCCAGAGGGGTGAGGCCTGCAGGTCAGAGAAAGTGGAGGCCAGGTGGCCACTCACCAGGAGATGAAGACTGAAGAATGAGGCATGCCTGTCTCGAAGGAGCTCCTGCGGGAGAGGAAGAGCGAGGCGGCTTAGGTTCGGGTGGTCCCCATGCAGGGCCTGGTGCCCGCTCAGCACCTTCACACCAAGGCACAGATGAGGAGAAAGCCAGGGGGTTCTGTCGTGGGGTCAGGGTTAGGTCCATGGATCAGAGTTGGGTCAGGGTGAGGTAGAATCAAGGGTCATGGTCCAGATCAGAATCAAACCTGAGATCAGACCACAGAGAGGCAGGGTCCGGGTTGGGTCAGGGCTCAGACTCAGGCATCATCATTACCAGGCCAATGCGGGCTCGGCAGGTGAAGCCATCCCCCACAGTGTGGGATGCGTCGCAGGTGCACGTCCTCTGGCCATCCCCTGTGCTTTTGCACACGGCGTAGCGGCTGCAGCCTCCGTTGCTCTGAGTCAGGAGAAGCATCGTGTCTCGCAGGTCCCTGGCCCCTCAGTGCTGGGGAGGGGCCGGGAAGCTCCCTGCCCAGTGCTCACGCCAGATGTGAGCTTGGGTGAGGGTAGCTCACCCTGCAGAAACCCTTGGCCTGGGTTTGCGTTGAGGAGGGGGTTCCTGCCTCAGTCCCCACCCCGTGACCTTGGATGGGGCTGGGTCTGACCTGAGAGCAGGGGTCCAGGAGCTCACAGGTCCGGATGCCGTCTCCACTGTAACCCTCGCGGCAGCTGCAGGAGACCTGTCCCAAATCCCGATCACTGGGGCGCGAGGACACAAGAGCTGGCCAGCACCCTGGGCTAACGAGGCACCCCCTCCCTGGACCTGGTCTGCTGGGCACCCCCACCCATGGAGGAGTGGCGCAGCCCCACGAGGCAACCCTGCTGCGCTGACCTGCTGGGGGCCAGTGGGGATGCACTCGGCATGTGTGTGGCAGCCCCCGTGGTGGATGAGGCAGCTGTTGACTTCTGGGGGAAGAGACAGTGGAATGAGGGGTGGCCTAGGCAGCCCCCCACCTTCCCACCTGTCCCCGCATGCACTCACCCCTGCTCTCAGCGTCCGCACTCCCCACACCTGTGTGCCTCTCAGCCCCTCCTCCCTGGCCAGACAGACCTGAGCCCAGGCCCTCCTGCACACACTCAGGGTGGGGACCCCAGCCTCACCTTGGCACAGCTCCCCATCACCCATGTAGCCGTCTTGGCAGGTACATGTCCGCTGCCCAGGTGCCACCTTGGTGCAGTTGGCATGGGGGGAGCAGCCCCCGTGGTCATGGGCACAGGGGTCCACTTCTAGGGTAGATGAGCCCAGAGAGTTGTGAGGAGCAGGCAAAGAATGGGCCGGGCCGGGGGGAGCGCGTGGGGGGGAGGAAAAGAAGGGGGGACCCAAGACAGAACAGCAGTAGAAACTGGACCAAAAGGGAGCGAGGAGGGCCTGTGGTGGGGTCACCCGAAGATTTCAGAGGGGACCAGGGCATCAGTGCGGCTGGACCTGAGCACTCGACGCCACTGCCCGAGTAGCCTGCGGCACAGACGCAGATGGGGGCTCCGGCCGAGTCCTGGATACAGCTGGGGGGTGGCAGCAGCTCAGCTTGTGCCCGCCACGACACCAGTGCCCTGCCCACCTGCCCAGGCTGGGCGCACTCACTTGGCATTGGAATCACACTTCTTTGGGCACTGAGCGCCAGTGATTTCTGGAACAGGAGAATGGTCTGGGCAGCTGGACCCAGGGGCCACCTCCCCGGGAGGCCCCGGCCTCGCCCTCGAGGCCACTCACTCTGGTCACAGCGGAGACCCCGCCAGCCTAGGCTGCAGACACAGCTCCCGTCCCCTCGCAGCCCCTCCTGGCACAGGCCGTGGGCGCAGTCGCACACTGGGGGTGGGAGAAATGAGAGCGGGAGTGCCCCAGGGCTCCCGCAGCTGGGCGCCTCCCTGCCGCCGCCCTCCGGGTCCTCACCTCCAGTGCAGTTGGGCCCGTAGCGGCCCAGCTCGCACGTCTCGCAGGCTGTCCCGTGGAAGCCCTCGTGGCAGCGGCACTCCCCACTGCCCAGGAGCCTGTCCCGGCACTGCCCGTGACCTGAACACACACCGCCCAGGCCCCCTGGGCAGGGCTCACACAGTGTGCCGAAGAAGCCGGGGCAGCAGTCAGGGACCTGCAGGGAGCGGGTGCGAGGGGCCAGGTGTCAGCAAGTGTCAGGCGAGGGCGTCTCCTGGTGTCAGTCGGGGATCACAAAGTCCCAGGACAAAGCAAGTGGGAGCCAGGGCCCTGGGAACACCCTGGACAATATCCCTCTGCGCCCAGCTCAGGAATGAGGCAAAGACCTCAAACAGGGCAGGGCTTTGCCTTGATCCCAGAGGCAGGCATACTGGGCCCCGCTGCTGCCCGGGGCTCGGTGGGCCGTGTCAGCTCCTGGCCCCAGCCCTCTCCACAGGCCACTCCCTGAGGGACAAACACTGGCCTCCCTTCCTCCAGACCCTTGCTTCACAAGCCTCACCCTAGTCTCAGCCTTGGAAATGAGATTAGAAATACAACCCAATACCCTGGCCTCACTCCCACCTCTTCTCTGGCCACAGACTTGGGGGTGAGGGAGAACTTCAGAGCAAACCTGGATCTTCTTGGCGCATGTGTAGGAACAGCCCAGGGAGACGGTGTAACCAGATCTGTAGAAGCAGCTCTTCTTGGGGGTGCGCTAGAAGTGGGGACAGGCAGGAGGGCTCAGCCATTGACCGGGCCGGGCAGCGAGTGGGAAGACAGACTGTAGGCATCAGTGGGTGACATGGGCAGGACAGCAGGAGGGGCAGAGGGGGCCGCTACAGATGGGCCTGGCAAGAAGGTGGGCGGAAGCCGGGTCTGCGCCACGGGGCGAGGGCTTCAGGCCACAGGGCTCTGAGGCCTCCGACGCCAGACCAGGCAAGGCAGCCCACGCGGTCCAGTCCCCGACTCTAGGTGAGCAGAGCTGGGTCTGGAGGGAGAAGGGTTTGGACACGGGGACCAGTGAGAGCACGTGAAGGGGGCTGGAGTCACGCCACGTCGGGCCTCACCTCCAGCTGGTAGCCCTGAGGACAGCGGTACTTCCGGGTGCAATTTATACATTTCTCCTGGGAGAAGGAGCGCAGTGTCAGGTGGCCCTGAGAGAGGGCCCCTCAGCTGCCTGCCTGCCTTCCTCCAGGGCAGGTGACCACTCCCCGCCTCTGACCGGGTGCCTGCCCCCTGGCCGCCAGCCGTCCGTCCCCTCCCGGCTCTGAGCTGCCCGGCTGCCTCTGGCCCCAGCCTCTCACCCTCTGGGACTCGGTGTGGCTGTGCAGGCACCGGCTTGAGCCCACCGTCAGGACCCCCGACAGGCCGTACAGGGAGCGGCCAGGAGCCTCCAGCAGAGGGCCTTCCAGGGGCACGCGGTTCACCTCGGGCTAGAGCGGAAGGGAGGCGGACCCTTACCCACCACCACCCAGGCGGGGGCATCTCCAGGGAGGGGTCTCCCAGAACGGGTGGTCCCAGCAGCAGGGATCGGAGACTCCCAGATAGGGGCTGTCCAAGAGCAGAATGTCCAGGGTGGGGTCTTCTTGCCGCCCCTTCTGCAAACCTGGCCACTATGGTTGTAGAAGACAAGCCAGTGGGCAGGGCCCAGGAGCGAGTTGCGGTGCCCGCCCCTCCGCAGGGCTTCCACGGAGAGCGCCTCCCCCAGGATCACATGGTGCCTCACCGTGTCTGCGTCCTGGGGGACAGGAGAGGCTTGGGGCTCACTACCAAATGCCCTCACGGCGCTCTCCGCCCTGTGGTCGTCTGCCACAGGACGGGAAGCCTCACTCTGGGCCCCTCACCCTGCCCCATCCCAGAGGCCTCACCAGGCTGCTGCTGTTCCCCTGGGCCTCCAGTGAGTGATTGGTGGGCACGAAGATGGTGTAGGCTGTGGCGGCTTCAATTTGGGGTACCAGCCCGTGGCGCTAGGGGCAGGGTTCAGGGGTCAGAGCTGGCTATAACGGCCAGGCAGCTCCAGGAGGGCAGCCTGGTCAGCACTCCCCCCTCCTTTTTTTTTTTTTAAAGATTTATGTATGCATACAAAACTGGGGTACAGGCTAGAGGTAAAGCGGCGTTGAGAGGATTCACCAGAGACAGTCGGGAACAGAACAGGCAGATCGATGAAGCGCACTGCTGAGGGGAGCAGCGGGAAGACAGGAGAGGTCTGTGCCATGTGGGTCAGCTCCCTGACCGGGCATCAAACTCAGGCCGTAGAGGTGACGGCACTGAGACAACCCCTAAGCCACAGGGAACCCCCGCCCCCCTCTTGCTCTTACCTGCAGCAGCTCCTGGAAGAGGCTGAAAGCGGGCACAGAGCCCAGCTGCTGCAGCAAGCCCTGGCCACCCTGCATGTCCCCTCTTGGAGGCAGTAAGACCTGGCGTGGGGCACAGGGCTGGTAAGTATGTCACTGCCTCTTGACCTGCTGCGAGCGTCCCTGCACACACACAGCCCTTCAGACATACCTGGCTGAGGACGTGTAGGACGCCATTGGTGGCAAGGAGGTCAGCCACATCCACACTGGCATTCTGCACCCAGACCCTCTGGAAGACAGGCCCGCTCAGTCAGATGGGCACAGAGTGCAGCACCAGCAGAGAGGCTGCTGGGCACCCAGGGCACCACTGGTGACCCCTAACCTGGCCAAGACCTCTCACACTCAGGATCTACCAAATGGGCAAAGGGCCTTGCCAGGACCTCGGCGTGAGGATGGCACATATGCAGACGAAGAGGGGACAGACAGCTCTGTGGACCCAAAGCCACTGCCCAGCATCAAAAATGCCCCAGGCACACCCTCCGGGCCCTGTCCAGGGCAGAGCTATAGGACCCCAATTTTATCCCTGGTCTAGGAAGCCCGCAGCGACTCGAGTTCCCTCCTGCGCCCCACATGGCCCCCTTTCCTGTCCAGGGTTCACCACGTACCCCACTGATGTTGTGAATCTCCCAGCGTATGGTGGGGCTCAGGGTGGCCACATCTTGCCCGCCCAGCTGGGCCAGCTCTTCCTCAGAGAGGGATCCCTGGAGAAAATGGGCCCTGAGCGGGCACCGTTTGGGGAGGCCGTGGGGCCAGGTTAGTGTAGACTGTAGAGACCCATGGGGCGGGGCTCTGCTGTGACAGACTGAGGCCCTCTGGCCAGGGCTGGGCCTCACACAGAAGCACGCTCCCCTGCCTGGTCCAGCTGCCTACCTGACCAGCTCCGGCAACATTCTGGGCTGCAGCCAGAAGGCCTGGTCCTCAGGGGTCAGTCTGCGGATGGCGGACTCAGAAGGCACTAGGGCTGTGACTTTGCTGTCAGCAGGAAGAGTGATGCCAGCTCTCTGTGCACAGCATGCAGGGACAGAAGGAACGCTGAAGGCAGCCCCTACCTGGATGTCACCTGCCCCCAGGCTGCAGGCCTGCTTCCCGCCTCAGGGCTGTGTAGCAGCCTGCACCCAGAGAGTTCCAGGATTTGAGTCTCAACCCCAGCATTCTGCCCTGGCCTACCTTGATCCACTGGTAGAAGCTGGAAAAGTGGGCATTTGCCTCTAGCTCCTGAGAGGAGAGAGCGAGCTGAGGGCATCTAGGGGTAAACCTGGTAAACCTGAGCCCCCATCCCCAGGGCCCTGAGCACCTGGAGCACCCTAGGTACTTGAGAGGAGCCACTTACTTGGAATATGTCTCCATAGCAGCTGAAGCCATCGCCACCATAGCCAGGAGGACAGCTGCAGACCCGCTGACCGCCGCCCACGGCCCGGCAGGTGGCCTGGGAAGGGGGCACAAAGGCATGGCCCTTTATTCAGCACACGGCAAGCTGGCCAGCACCCGCTCCAGCTCTCTTCGCCTCTGTCGCTCACCACCTGCCCCCACTGTCTCTCTCCAGCCCCCGTCGGCAGTCATGCTGCTCCCTTGGTGTGCCGGGCCCTGCTCCCCAATGTCACTGAGTATTTCACGAAGGTGCCCTGGCCCTCAGGGGAACACTGAGTAGGAGTTGCTGGCGGGGCCGAGTGCGTGGCATGGGGGGCTTCGGGCATGCATGGGCAGCACTGGAGCGGAGTGAGGTCAGGGGACCATGCAGAGTTGAGTGGCTGGAGGGACACGGGGTGGGGGTGAAGGGGCAAGGCGAGTGGACGCTGGGCGGGGCTGGGCCTTAACAAGGAGGGGTGAAACACCATCCTGTGGACAAGGGTGACATGGTTGGATTATGGATTTAGGAAGATGCCAATCCAACTAAAACAGAGACACCCAAGGAAAGTGAGGACTGCAGCTAAGGCCTACCCAGGAGAGCCCTGGGGGCCCTGAGCCCTTTCCCCTCACCAGGTCGTGGCAGCCTCCATTGCCAGCCAGGCAAGGATCGATGGGGCTGCAGGTGTAGCCGTCCCCGGCGAAGCCCAGCTTACAGGTGCAGCGGCTCTGGAGGGCAGGGCAGCAGAGGGGCGGGGCTCATCACGCGCACCCCACCCTTTCCTTCCGCACTCTGGCTCTCAGTGGGCACTGTCTCCTGGCTTGCTCCGACCTCAGGAGAGCTTCTCCCAGCTCCACCCCTGGAGTCCCATGTTCCAGATGGGGACACTGAACCCTGAGGAGAGACTGGCTCATGAAGAGCTTGTGGCAGTAATGACACTGTGGGGAGCGTCCACGGACACTCAGGAGCCCTCAGCTCTCAGGCCTGGACATGTACCAAGTCTCGAGGTCAGGGGTGTACAGTGAGGTGACTGCCAAGGCCAGCCCCGGGACTCCCTGCAACCTTGCTGGGCGCTAAATGCCAGGGCCCTTGGGCCTGTCCGCTCTGCACACAGGTGGCCGGCGAGACCACCCCGTCGTTTGCAAGGTGGGGGCATCTCTCCCTGCCTGACCCAACCACCTGCTCTGAACTTTAAAGCTCCTGATGGAGTCCAGAGCTCAGCTGAGTTCTCACAGCTTAGGCCCCTGGGCTGCTGGCCTGGACCCCAGTGGGGACAGGAGAAGAGTAGCCCCATGGTTTCCTGAACAGCTCTGTGCTATGTAAAAGCTGAACTTGAACCTGCCAGGCCTGGCCTCTCAATGGCATAAGACATTCAGGCTCATCAAGCCTGAAATACTTGCAGCAGAGGGGTCTAGGCTCTGAGATCCTGAAACCGCAAAGTTCTAGAGCCAGATTCCCATGAGTATGAAGATTTGGGGGTGCCACTCCCCTTGGGAGTCTCTTCCTGCTTGTCTGAGCACTGGGTTCCTAAGTCCCGAACAGGAGCTGAGAACACGTGGGAAACTGATGCATGAACGAACTCAGCCTGGCTGTGGCCTCAGTGTTTCGGAAATGCACTGTCGTTTGTATCTCAGTTCTAGGAGTGGGTGCTCCTAGAGTCCGATGGCTGGAAGGAGCGCTCCCGTGTGCAGGCTTCCACCCCACCCTGCCGTCCTTCGCCCCCCACCCCCGTGTCTCACCTGGCCAGGTCCCACATAGCTGCAGAGGGCATCGGCGTGGCAGCCCCCACGTGCGTCCAGCTCACACTCATCGATGGCCACGCAGACACGGCCGTCCCCACTCCAGCCTTTGTGACATGTGCAGTGGTGGGCGCCCAGGGGCCCGGGGACACACTCAGCCTGTGAAGGCCATGGATTCTTAGCTCAGCTCTGTGGGCAGCGGGCAGCAGGCAAGGGAGGGCCACTCCCCCCCCGGGGGCGGGCTTTGGGGAGGGGCAGCAGACTGACATTCTCCGAGCAGCCGCCACGGTCTGGGTGGGAGCAGGGGTGGCTGGGCGTGCAGGAGAAGCCGTCCCCCTCAAAGCCGTCGAGGCAGAGGCACCTGCGCAGGGAGGCAGAGCGTGAGTGACAGGCCTCCGGCGAGGCTCTGGAAGGAGCTAGAAGCTGAGCGGCGGACCGGTGGGGTCACCGTAGGGAGCCAGGAAGCCCGCGTCCTCACCTGCTGACGTCCCCCTGGCTGGCGCAGCGGGCATGCGCGTGGCATTCCTGCGGCTGCTCCGTGGGGCCACAGCTCCTTGAGGACTCGTTGCAAAAGCGGCCGCTGAAGCCTGGGGCACAGGTGCCGTGCTGGCACACCCCACCGCTGCCTGGACGGTTGTCGCACAGACCGTGGACACAGCCGCAGTCTGCAGGGAGATGAGAACCAGGAGACTGAGACAGGGGCGAGGCGGGGTGGGACCCAGGGTGCAACGGAGGGAGCGTGGGGGAGGGGCAGCCCACACAGATGTGGCTTCAGGGTCACAGAACCAGAAATCGGCTCAGACTCCAGGGTGGGCACAGAGAACGCGAGGAAAGGAATAAGGACACGCCCATTTCTGTTCCCAAACTCCTCCACCCCTTCTCTGGGGTGCAGCCCCCACGCCAAGCTGACACTTTTTCTCCCTGGGAAGCAGCGGGGTGGGGGCACGGACACCCTACCTTCCTGGCACTGGTCTCCGTGTTTGTTGGGGTTGGAGCAGATGTGGCAGGCAATGCCCTTGAAGTCCGGGAAGCAGAGGCAGGCCCCGTTGCCATGGACCCCGTCACTGCACTGGGGTGGAGGGCAGGGTCAGCCTGGGGAACGGCCCTCCGCACCCCTCCCCCAGCACCTGCTCTCTCCACAGGGCTGGCCCTGAGCTCCTGATCCCCTCCGAAGAGCTCACCCTGGAAAAGACTCCCCAGATCACTGATGCTGCCAAAGAACTGGCCCCCTAAAAGGCACCCGACCTCGGGGGCTTTGTGGGTGACTCTGTTCAACCTGGAAACATATGCCAGGTGTTCTCGCACAGCCAAATGCTGAAGCAATGCTGCAGTTACAAAGCAGCAGAAGTAGAACACAGAAGAAAACTACTGACTGGTAGCCTCCATGAAAAAGGTGCAAAAATATCTATTTTCAATTAAAATAGTAAAAACAATCTGGTCTAGTCTCCACTGCCTAGGTGTAAGGAGTGCAAGGCTGGAGGGAGGCAGGCTTGACTGTGACCCCGCCGGGCACGGCTTGGGAAGGGGCTCCCGTCTCCCCAGCACCTTGGCCCAGGCCCGCGGGGACTCACGTTGCCTTTGCCGTAGCAGGGGTTGGAGAAGCCGCCGGGACACTGTGCACAGTCAGGCCCAAAGAACCCTTTGCAGCAGCCCGGTTTCTGTGAGAGAGAATGTGTGTGAGGGTCCATCTGGGCCCCTCCTGCCCAGCCCAGGCTGCTTCTGCTCCCATGTCTAGAACTGGGGGGTTGCATGAAGCCCTTCTGGGGCTCCCTTCCTCCCATTAGGATGCAGTACAGCCACGCGAGGAAGGCGGCCTGCCCAGCCCCAGGCTTGCGGCCCAGAGAAGAAGCCAGTGCCAGGCCTCATGCGAGAGCCCCCCCCCCCCCCCCAGACGCACCAGGACGGTCTGGTTGCAGTAGCGGGCGCAGCCCTTCTTGAGGACGTTGAGTCCATTGGGGTCATGGATGTAGACACACTTTTCAGGAAAGATGTCCTGGGGCAGGGAGGAGGGTGCAGGCTGGTCAGCAGGTATGGGGTCCTAGGCTGGTCCCCTTCACCAAGCAGCCGTGGTCAAGGGACCTCAGACGCCCCCACACCCCTCACCTGCACCTCAGTGGGGCTGATGGGGGCTGAACCTCCCCGCCCTTCCCCACCATGACCCAGGGCAGAAAGCGCACTGGGGAGGGGAGATGAGTCCCCAAGGCTGGGTCGGGGGGCTCACCAGCCTCACGCTGTTGGCGGGGCACGTGCTGGTGTTCAGGGCTTGGCAGTCTACGCAGGAGCCCTGCACGGTACAGGGGCATGGGGGTCAGTCACGCCGGCTTATTCAGCAGGCCACACGGGAGTGGCACTGAGCAGACACCTGGGACAGGAGAGGAAGCCTGCCCCAGGGAGCAGGGTGGCGTTCAGGGCAAAGGCCCCGCAGCCGGTGTGAGGGTGTCACAGGCCGTGGCAGGAGCTTGGAGAAGGCGGTCTGGAAGACGCATGAGTGACTTCAAAGGTGCAATCAATAGGACTGGTGGGGTTTCTGGCAGACTCTTGGGGGGTTGCATCTGGTCCCCAGAGCCATGATCGACCCACTTACTCATTTGAAGAGGACCAGAGAAGGCGCCAAACCCCAGGAAGACGCTTCCTCTCCCCAGGAAGACGCCCCCTGCGTGAGCACCAGGCTGTCCAAGCCCAGGCTCTGGGCCCTTACCGCCACAATCTGGTGCTGCTCCTCACTGCAGTGCTTGGGCAGGATGGGCAGGATGGTCGGGGGCAGCAGCACACCCTCCAGCATGTGGATCACGCCATTGGCAGCCAGCACGTCCACTTTTCGCAGCGGGACCCCTTCAGGTCCCAGCAGGATGCGCCCCTGTGGAGAGCCCAGTGTGCCTCCCACCCTGCCCAGAGGCCTCCCTGGCCCAGTCGGCTTTGCTGGCCCCTCCCTCTGCAGCTCGGTGCCTGCTGAAGGCCCGGCCAGTAGATGCTCTGCTCCCTTCTTTTCAGCGACGCTCCCTCGGGCAGTTACTCTAGTCTCCCCGAGTAGCCCTGGTTCCTGCCACATGGGGTTCTCCCTCCCCGCCAAGTGTTCACCCTCCTCCTCGGAGTCCTCCTGCCGCAGGTGCCCAGGAGAGGTGCCTGCCTCCCGTATGATGCCTCCCCACCCGCCCTGTCCGGCTCAGAGCACAAAGACGGGTCTGAAAGAGCTCAACAGCCGGGCGGGCAGGCAGCCCCGGCGCTGCGCCTTCTGCTTGCTGCAGTCAGGGAGGACATCTCACCTCCTCAGAGATATTCACAGCCAGAACCTGGTTGGCCATGGTGAGGACTCGACTCTTCGAGATGAGCTTTTCAACAGTCAGCTGGGACCAAGGAGAAGGTAGCCTTAGGCAGGCCACTGGCACCCCTTGAGCATGCCCAGTGCTGCCCATGGAAGTCCCAGCAATCTGCCTTGATCTCCAGACTCTCCTTTGGGCTCTGATAGCCCAGATGGGGACCCTGGCAAAGCCCCCAGCCCCCCAAACACACACACTCCCCAGACAGTCCAGCCGCGGGTGCAAGCCAGTCGCCTTTTTGGAGGGGAGCCTCTCACCTGGCCGTGACTGTAGATGTGGTACCTCACCAGCTCCTGTAGCTTGGAGAGACCCTGGCAGGGGACAGAGGGGTGGTCTCCTGGAGGCCCTGGTGCCCTCACATCCAGAGTCCCTTCTCCCCCCCCGAACTTACTGTGGTGAAGAGGTAGATCAGGCGGCCGTCACGCAAGCTGTCCACAGCCTCATTGCTTGGAACAAAGACTGTGAAGGGCCCGGGCCCATCCAGGATAGAGGGCAGCCCACAGTTCTGCAGTGGTGGGAGGGAGGCTCAGGGGGGCTCCAAGGCCAGCCCCACCTCTGATCCCTGACTGAGGGGCCTGCCCTCGGCCCACCCACTGGGAACCCCCACAGGACTAAGTAGGAGTCGCAGAAGTGGGTCCTTACTACTGCAGAAGCTCAGGGTGGTGATGGACAGCGCTAGGATGAGGCGTGGGCAAAGGCCTCTTCTGTCTAGGTGCCAGATCGGTGGGGCAGATTCTGGGGAATGAGTTCATTACAGGGTAAGGGCTCACCTCCAGGATGGTTTCAAACCGGCTGAAGGCCTCGGTGGAGGCGAGGATCTGGCTGATGGTCCTCTGTAGGAAGGGAGGAGCATGAGGGTCCGGGAGAAGAGGCTGGGAGGAGCTGTGCTCTAGAACTGCCTCTGCCCCTTCTCTGAAGCCTCTGGGGGTCAGAGGTCACCTAGTAACCAGAGGTTGGGGAGGGCACTGGCTTACCTTGGGGTCCTCAGGGAGTTCTGCGGGGGACTGCTGCCGAAGAGCAGTGACCACGTGGAAGACTCCGTTGGCTGCAGGATAGTTGGCCTTGTGGATGGTGAATGTCTGCTGGGGCTCGTTTTCATACTTGTAGGTGTGTTTCTGCTGAGATCCGAGGCCTCTGGCTCATTCTCTTGGGGCTCCATCCCTCCTCCACACTTTTTGCCTGGGCTTTGCCCCCCTCCCGTGACTTCTCTGGCCCTGATGCTAAGACTCCTCCCTTACCATGAAGCGGTTGAAGGTCACAGTGATCTGCTCCCCAGCCAGCGTCCACCACCGGCGTGTATGCTGGGTCCCTGCCTCCTCCAGTATGTGCTGGCCTGCGATGATGTGCTGTCTGCAGAGCTGCCGTGCAAGGGAGGCCTGCGGGCACGTGGGGTTCGGTGCCGAGTGGGCCCAGGGCAGGCAGGCCTCCTCGGGTCCCCCCTTCCTGAGCAGTGCAGGGGACAGTGCTGGCTCCTGGGTCCCCCTTTCGCAGAGTGTGGATTGGGGATGCTCTCAGGCCGTGGAGCCCAGGCAGGGACCTGTATCAGCTCCCTGGGGGAGGTGCTCACATTTACTGTCCTGGAGAAGGCCGAGATGGATGGCACCAGCACAGTGAATGGCCCTGAAGTGGTGAGAAGCTCCCGGCAGCCATGTTCTGGGGGAGAGGGGCAGAAAGGACACATGAGAATGGGGCCGGAAAGACCCACGGGCATCAATCCTGTTTTGAGGAGTCAAGGTGGGAGGCACTGGGGCTAGGAAGAGATGGGGTCAGTACATGGGGAGCTACTGCACGCCCACCACAGCCCACTGTCTCCACATCTCTGTGGAGTCCACCTGCCCGTCCCTCCCTGCCAGCAGTGTGGGGGCCAAGGGCAGGGCCATGGGCAGGTCGCGGAGGTCACATACCCAGTATGGTGAAGGCAATTCTCAACCTCAGGAAGACCACGCCAACCTGGCCGGCCTTCTGTATCTCGTGGAGCAGGTGTCCGTAGCAGGCACGCCCATCCCCCACCTCGCCCTCCTTGCACACACAGCTGGGAGTACAGGAGGACTGGTCAGGTCAGGTGGCCAGTCCCTCACACAGCTGTCCTACAGGTGGCCCTCGGGCTGAGGGTGAGCCCTACACCCTTGCCCCTGGCCACTCCACCCTCTCTATTCTGCCCCTGGCGACCCATATTCAAGGCCCTGGTGCCCACCTGGTCTTCCCATCGTGGGTCACCTGGCAGGTGGCTGACCGGTCACAGGAGTGGGGGGAGCAGTAGGCGAAGCAACCCGCTGAGGCATTGCTGTTGATACTGACCAGGCCTGGCTTACAGGAGCAGGAGGCCTGCTCCACCGGGCAGAGGCAGAGGGTGAGAGCACGGCCATGAGAACCGCCGGCACCCACAGAGTGCCTCTCAATCCCCGCAACCACACCCCAACAAGCGGGCTTTCATCCTCCTCCAGCTTTGCAAAGGGGCAGCTGAGGTGCCCAGCAGACCCAGGACTTGCCCAGGGCCCCACTGCCAGAATGAGTGGGAGGGGTGGTGGGGCAGTGGGAACCCGCCCAGGGCCCCCGGTCACCTTGCCTGGCCTCTGATACAGACACACGGTGGAGTTGCTGGGGCAGCCCCCGTGGTTGGCAGTGCACGGGTCCTGCGGCAGGCACACCCTCCCGTCGCCATGGTAGTTCTGGGGACAGCGACACTCCGCCTGCCCGCTGGGGCTCAGCGAGCACTGGGCCAGTGGTGAGCAGAGCGATGGCGAGCAGGGGTCAGGACCTGCCGGGCGGAGAGCCCAGTGAGCCAGGTACTGGGCAGCCTGCCTCTCCACAGCCTCCACCAGGGTAACCCAAAATTGGGGGGGGCGGGCAAGCTGACTTGACCTTGGGGGCAGGCCCACCCCGTGTAAATGGCCGGACTGAACTTGCGGTTGAAGGGTGACCTCCGGCCTCTGCTCACGGGGGCTGAGGGTCCCGGCACAGCCCAGGCTTACCTCGGCATTCACCGTCCTGCTGGGTGTAGCCGGGCAGGCAGCGGCAGGTGGGGGACTCCGCAGAACACTGTGAGTTCCGGGGACAGTGCAGAGCCTGGCAGGCGGGCACCTCTGAGTGGACAGAAGAGAGTGCTGCAGCGGCTTGAGAGGCCCCCCTGGGAGGAACCAGGAGCAAAGATGCTCTGCTGGATTTGCTGTGTGACTCTGCCGGGGCCCTGCCCTCTCTGGGCCTTGGGCAGCGAGTCCCTGAAGGCACAGCCTCCCTCCAACTGGCGGGTGCTGGCTTGAAAGAAATTAGGCTGCAGGCAGTGGCCCTCTAAGGTCAAGCCCCCCCACTGCACCACTCCTGCTCTGGTGGCACAGGCCGCTGCCTGCAGCACTCACCTTGGTCACAGAGGGGGCCGGTGTACCCCGCAAAGCACAGGCAGCTTCCATCCCCGAGCGGCCCCTTACGGCAGACACCATGTACACATCCGCACACTGGGAGGGACACACAGAGACAGGAGACCCCAACCTCACCAGGGGCAAAGGGACAGTGAGCCCCTTCCCCCCACCTCTCCACCGCTCGGCTCTGGCAGGCACAAGCTCAAGAGTAGAGCTGTGACCCAGGGCCACGGATCCTGGGAGTTGAGAGTGGCCTGGTCCAGCCCCAGAGCTCTGGGGGGCAGCCCGGAGGATACCCCCAAGAACAACCCAGAAGTGTGATGAAACAGAGCTCACGGCCCAGAAGGGGAAGGGAGCTGGGAGGCAGCCTGGTGGGGACGGGCTGCAAGGAGAGGGTCCCCGGGGGCGGGGCACCGGCATGCCCTCCTGCCTGCCAATGCTCACCTGACTGGCAGTCAGGCCCGAACCGGTTGGGGTCGCGGCACTCGTGGCAGGCCGACCCGCTGAAGTTCTCCTGGCGGACGGGAGCACCAGGTCAGTGTGGCCTCACCGCTGCCCCCCACCAGCCCTGCCTGGTCCTTACCTGGCACACGCAGGTCCCGTTCCTGTCTATGCCATCCAGGCAGATTCCGTGGCCACTGCATGGGGTCTCAGCACCCCCCGGGCACTCTGTAGGTAACACCCCAGAACACAACTGTACCTCAAAAGCTCTGGATTTAGCCCTGACCTCAGTAGCTCTGGCAGCCCCAATGATCCCTCCCCCAGGGCTGCCACACTAGGCGGCCACGGTGTGCTGGCTGTCAGTAGGTGCTTTACTGAGGATGGGGAGCCAGGTGGCGGCGGGCACAGGAGCAAGGTGGGACACCCCTCATACCATAGCATTGGGATCCCCAGTAGCCAGGGCAGCAGGCCTTCTGTACCACATTCTTCCAGCACTCCAGGCTGCAGCCTCTCATGGACACCAGAGAGTCCCCAAGCTGTACCTCGTAGCTGCAGACAGGGCAGGCTGGGAGATGTGATGGGAGCCCCTGCCCCCACGCCGCCAGCCTTCCTAGCCAGCTCAGGAGTCTTATCCTGCTCCCCCTGTCTGGCCCTGGGTCTCACAGGTAGTAGGCACCCAGAGAAGACTCTGCTCTCTTCTTCCTTCCCTCTTCCCATTTGGGTCCCTCAGAGGGACTGTCAGAGTGTGGGTGAGGCCTGGCCTTCACTCCTCAGGCCTAACAGAATCTCCCAGGTTCTCGACCTCCCCATGAGATGCTCCTGTACCTGCAGTCCTGTGATATCTTTTCTGGGAACTCCCGAAGCCAGCCTGGGGGACACGCCCGCTTCTTGATGGCAGGGCACACGGTGCAGGGTACACGAGTGACAAACTTGGTCTTGACATCACAGTGTTTGGATCGCACCTGGTTTGGAGGTGAAGAATTGGACCTGTCCCTATCCTGACCGTCCTGACCATCCTCTTTGGGCCTTGGTTTCCCACCTGTTCAGTGGGGCTGTGGTGAGGACAGGAAGGTCCCTTGCAGGGGGATCCTGCCAGCATTACTTATCACTGCCACAGCACAGCCCCATGCCAACAGCCATGTACTTCTGCCCAAGGCCCAGAAGCCTGTCTACCTGCTGGAGAATCTGGCCACTTTCTTCTATTTCTGTCCATTCAGATGAGGAAAATGAACCTCAGGCAGTGGTGTTGGCCTAAAGGCACCCAGTGGCCCATTAAGAACCAGCAACTAGAAGCTAGAGCTCATTTTTTCCTTCCAGTTGAAAATAACTGACTTAGCCGGCACTGTCTGGGAGAACACAGCAACTCCACCAATTCCCCGGCACGGGTCCCACACCACGGGGCTGGACCTCTGCTCTGCTCTGGACACATCCCCAAGTTGGCGTGGAATGATCCTCTCAGCAAGCCCCAGGGCCCTCCCTGCTGCCACAGAGCCAGCCCCAAAACTGGGAGTCTGGGCTGCATGAACAGGCGTGAGCAAACGTGTCTGTTCAGGCCAGTTACTCTCTGAGGGCCTGAGTCCAGGCCTGACCCCCCCCCCCCACATACCCACCAGGAGCTAGAAGTCCACTGCCTGTCACTGGATGGGCCCTTTTTGGCAGAGGGGACTAAGAGGAACCAGACTTGAAGCAGCTCCCCTGGGGAGCTAGAAACTGAAGTATGGGTGACGGCTACCCAGGGCACTTCCCTAGCAGGGAGAACAGCAGAGCCACGGCCGGGAAGTGGGAGGGAGCAAAGGACCATATGTGACAAGGCAGAGCAGCCAAGGAGAGACTGAAGAGGTCAATGAGGTGCGGCCGAACCTGAGACAGTCTGTGTTCCAAGTGGGCCTTCTGGCTGCTGTGTGGGGAACCGCAGAGGCACGAGAAAGCCCTGGTCCAGCAGGCCTACTTGCCACCTGCCACAGTTCCCACATCCAGCACGAGGCACCTTTATAGCAAAACCAGTCCTAGTAACCCACCGTGTCGTCCCCTGGAAGGACAGTTCTTGTGGGCAAAGGGCCACAGGGATGGTACACTTAGATGGAGAGGCTCTGGGGGTTTGGGACACGGTCTGAGGAAGCTGTCGTCATAGGAAAGAACATAAAACAAAAACCTGAACACACTGTGGTCCAAAGAGTGGGCCCAGAGCACCTCTTTCCTAGACCAAATCACGAATCTGGCCTGTCAGGGCAAGAGAAGAGGAGAAATAGAGCCCAGCGCACTCTTCTAAGCAAAGGAGACCTCAAAGCCTTTCTGCCGCTGAGATTTGGCCTTTTCCGCTTATGCCTTTGCGGTCTGTAAAGAGAGAAGTTGCTTTGAGCGGCCTCAGCGCCAGAAGTGGGGTTGTTGTGGTCTCATTCCGCCCCCCCCGCCACCCCCCACCAGGCTGTTTTTGCTGAGCCAGGGATTGATCAGGAAGTTGGGTAACTTGGCCGGCGGTTGCTGGCTCAGGGCAAAAGCCAGGCTGGTGGCAGGCTCCCCTAGGGCACCTGGCCTGCTCACACAGCTGCCACTGCAGTTACCACTGGCCCAGGGACCGCCCTTGAAGGAACACTGGCCCACCCTGGGGAAGGACGTCAGGTGAGAATGCTGTCCTCACATGCAGGCGGAGCAGAGTTCACTGAAGTGGGCACGGAGGGAACAGGAGTCCCGGATTGTGGCGTGGACACTCACACAGGATACTGTGTTTGTGCATGTGTGTGCAATGAAGGGTAAACCAGGGGTCAAATCACACTCCTCCCCAGAGACCGCACAGGAGACCGGCACTCAGGCCCCCTCTGCCCAAAGCCTGGGCGGGAAGTAGCAGTCCTGGCCCACTGGGCGGAGTGAGGCTGGACCCAAGCCCGGTGCTGAATCAGATTCCCTTCCTGTGACACCTCGGGATTGTCTGAGCCTGGCAGGTGCCGCCCCACCGCCCTGCCCCAAGTCGTAAATGATTTTGTAACGTAGCACTTCTGGGGAGGTAGAGTAGACAGGAGGTGGTGGCCTGTTGAGAGAGGTTGGAAGAAATCCCCCAGGTTCTAGGGCTGAGGACACAGAGCCCTTGGAAGAAATGCCCCTACCCTAGACCAGAGAGAGTAGGGGCCAGTGGCCAATACCTCTCTCCCCTCAGGCTCTGGCTTGAGACCACATCCACCAGCACATCCCTGGCACAGAAGCACCTGGTGAACACGTTATTGCATGGACAGGCACAAACACGTTATTGCATGGACAGGTACTAAGACTCCCGCTCCAGGAGGCCTCCTTCTATTGCCTGAACTGGCTGTTTTGGGGTGAGCCCCGTGCTGCCCCTCATGGCTGTGCGACCCAGAGGTCATCCCTTGCCCTCAGAACCTCAGTTTGCTATATGTACAATGGGTGTCATGCCACACGGGCTGCAGGGAAGCAATTCTGTATCCTTGTCCACAGAATCCCCATCCGCTCCGCTGGCCCTGCCTGGCTAAAGATCAGCTCTGAAAGGCAGACTGAGAAGCTTCCTTCTCCGACAAGGGAGAGATCCTGGTCTGACAAGCTGGGACATGAGGAGGCCGATAGCAAAGCCTATGAAATTCCCTGGCACTGTACACAAGGGGAACTGAGGTGGAAGAGGAGCAGGAAACCAGCCGCAGGCCTCAGCATAGTCTGGAACACTCGCTCTTCCATCGTCACTGTCACCTTCTCAGCCTCAATTCTGCCAGTCCTCCACCCAGACCAGAGCCCAGAACTGGTAGGGCCTCTGCCTGTCCCTGCTCTGAGTGTCCACAGAATATGAAAGAAAGAGCCCAGCGGTGCTAGGGGCCTGTGTCTCTGCCCTGGCCCTATCTGGTTAGAAAACCCCTTCCTTCTCTGCATCTCAGACTGTCCTGAGTCAGCTACAGTTGGTGTCACTGAGGAGGGCCCCTCGCCTGGAGGTAGGTCCCAGCCAGGTAATTCTGTTTCCATAATCAGGGGTTGGCTCTTCCAGAAATTCTGGTAGGACAAAGTTACTACTGTGGGGCTTGGGCGGACCTGCAGACAGACAGGCAGCCTGGAGGGGGTTGGCAGAGACAGACAGCCGCACCTGGGGCTCCTGTCTCACGTTGGGTAGGGAATACCGGGTGGCATCTGGAGCGTGGCTCCAGATGGTGACCGGCCCGTCTCCATCACCCGTGGGCCTTGGCTTCCTCAGGCAGAGAACAGGACTCACTGCCCGGGGCTGAGGATTCAGGGAAGAACACACATGTGGCCCTGTGCTGAGCGCTGGATAAACAGCCTTTCTTGGGCTTGAGGTTGTTATTGTTGGTGGCTGCTTCTCCAGAGGGATGGTGGCAGACCTCATTCTATCTCCAAGCACTCAGGCTGGACACAGGCACACACACACATGCACATACGCCCAGCACACGCATGTTCCACATGAGTTGTCTCGAGCCTGGAGGCCATCCTAGCTGCTGCCCAGGAGAAGGAGGCAGAAGACCCAGCCTCCTTATGGGCAGGGAGGGCAGGAGGCTGGGCCTGGACTGCTGACCCTCAGGCTGGGTGCCCTGGGACAGCTGCCCAAACTGCATGGCCATCCAGCTGGGCACATTGAGGAGGCCAGGCTGACACACCCCTGTACCCCAGACAGACACAGTCCTCAGTCTCGGGAGCTCTAGGCACAGCTCAGGCCCTCTGGTCCCGCTCAGAGGTCAGATGAGCCCAGGCCGCCTTGTATGTTCCCAGACTTCCCAGCGGGAGGTGCTCCCTCCCGCTCCCACCCCAGCCAGCAAGGCCCATACCACAGGCCCCGCCACTGGCTCATACTCACCTGCTGTGCCCCGATGACACTGGAGCCTGGCAGGCAGGCGGCCAAGAGGCAGAGCAGGAGGTGGCCCCGGGGCCCTGCCATGGCTGGCGGCTGGCAGGCACGCTGACCCGGGCAGTCGCCGTCCCAGGCAGTCGGGCAGACAGCGGGAGCTGGGGAGTGAGCACTGGGAGGCAGGCACAGCAGGCAGGCGGGACAGGGCGGCAGCTGCTTTAAAGGCAGTGGGAGGCCCCGCCAGTTCACCCCCACAGGAACCCACCAGGACTTCCTCCTGCATATCAGCAGCCTGCAGGCGGAAGGGAAGGTGCTGGCCACTGACCCCCACGTGGACCGCCTGAACCCTACTTGGGGCTTTCCGGGCTAGGGTCCTCCTGGCTCACAGGCTTCCAACTCCCCCATTACAGTGGGGTCCACCAGGGCTTGTGGAGCCCACTCCAATGTAGGGAAAACAACTCTCCCGCCCCTACTCCCTGCCCCCAGCCTGCCCGCTCAGTGTTTCATTCAGGGGCGGGGAGGGGTCCTGGAGTTGGGGGTTGGGCAGTGCCTGAATCACATCTGTCCTGTTGCTGCTGCCTGGCAGGCTCCGTGCTCGTTCAGTGGACAGCGGGTCAGATAGGAGCTTCCCTCACCCGGCCGCCCTTCTGACAGCGTCTGCTGTCCCCCCCCCACCCACCATCTAGCAGGTGTAAGGTCAAGGCTTCCCACAGAACCCGGCCAACCACTCCACAGCAGGCTCTCCCACCTGACTGCCTGCCTCCCTGCCCACCCCTCTGTTCCAGCCACGTGGGCCTTCCTACCCCTTCACCTGGTCAGGTGAGCGCCGCTGGGGCTGCTGTCACCCCAGATCCTCTCAAAGAGGCACACCACAGGTCCAGCCTCGAGTCAAAGGTAACTAGCTTTCCCCTCATAGCACTGGCATTGGTTTAGTTTTTCTGTCCCCCGAAATGTCAGCTATGGGAGTGTGGGGACAGCGTCTGGCTGGGTCACGTAGATGCTCAATGCGGACCTGCGGAATCAACTTTTTTCCTTTATTATGTTATTGGTGGGAAAACCGAGACTGAAAGTCTAAGTGACTTGTCTAAGGTTGTTCAATCAGTTTTAAGATTCAATCCTAAGCCCCTGCCCACCAGTGGGTCTTGGGCTGGGACTTGGCGAGGCCTCTGTGTGCCAGGTGTGGAGCCTACAGGCTCTGGTGGCCACTCTGCCATTACAGATGACATAGCTGAGGTGGAGAGGGGCAGGTAGCCATTTACAAACCCTTTGAAAAGGCCTGGGTGGAGGAAACCTTGTCACCTCCTCCTCAGTGAGTGTGAAGGTTGTGAATGGCATGACTCCCCTGGAATTTGTGGCTCCACTCCCCGCCACTCCAGCCTTCCTCAGGGTGATGGGCCCTTCAGGCCAGGATCCCCACTCTATGGGCAACAAGGGAAAACTGAGCAAAAGCAGGGCTGGGTGGAAGGTGGGCCACTCTCTGTTCACTTTCCCTGCACCCTGCCTGGCAAAATGGTCTTGAAGGCCTGAGGGCCAGGGTGAGAGGTGAGTGTGTGTGGGGGTGGGTTAAGGGCCTACTCTGGGATTAGGAGTGGGTGGAGAAAGGGTGGGGAACAGGGCAGGCTCCCAAAAAAAATCTCAGGTCCTACCTCAGCCCTGAGGACATGAGTACAGACATGGATGGGCACCAGGCCTCCCTCTCTATAGGTCCTCCCTGCAGGCCATCTTGGCGGGACCATCAGGGTCACACAGTAAGTAACCCTGAACTGCACATACAACAGGCTGTAGCTCCAGGTGGTGGGTCCAGGAGTGATGCTTCAGACCTGCAGGAAGCAGAAGGGTGGTGAGCAACAGTGCCAGGTGTACCTCAAGGGGCCTCATGAGTTCTGGTTTGCCCAAGGCTCCTGGTTTGGCCACAGCCCGGCAAGGCCATGTCCAAAGGTCCCCGCACACCTCCCCACCCCAGCTCTCCTGTGCCCCGGGCGTCCTCCCACGGCCCTCCCTCCCTCCTCCCTTCCTCTCCCCCACCCCTCCAATCTTACCTTCCTTTGTCTCCAGGCCACCTTCTTCCCTCAAGCCAACCAAGCCCCAAACCAATGCCCTGCTGGGACCCCAGTAGCCTTGAAATAAAAGACCCAGACTGTGTCAAACTCTGCTTTATTGGAACACAGAAAATAGGCAATGGGAATCACACTTGGTGCTGGCAGTTCTAGGTCCCCCTGCCTTCATCTGCCTCAGCTCCAAGGCCTGGGGGGGTTTCTGCCCACCACAGGGTTCCCCCACTTGTCAGACCAGGAGAGGCCTCTACTTTGGAAAACTGCACAGAGCGGGAGCTTCCAATGTGCATTTTGCTTCATAATTAGCAGCAAATGCTCACAATGACAGCGACAGCAACAAGACTGGACTCGACATTTTAGGAAAAGACATGTGAAGGTAAACCAGACCACATGTTAACAACGGCCCCACAACATTAGACACAACACTGGGGTGCCCGGCCATGCCACACCAAGGGCGGGCAACAGCTCAAGGGAGGCTGGCGATGCCCAGAGAGCCCTGGAGGGGCTGCCCCTTCACCCCCATCATTAGAAAGAAGTAACATGTGTTCACATTCTTTGGGAGGACAGTCAGTGAAGGTACCAAGTGGGAGGAGAAAACATTTTAAAAACAAATAAAGCCTGTGCCCCGGCCCCGAGTGGCCGCCAGGTCATGGTGAGCAGCAAGGGCTGGCTGTGACCGGGTTAGCCGGTGAGCTCAACGGGCAGCTCCCGGCCACACAGAGCCTCCCACTGGCGAGCCAGCAGAGAGATGAGCTTCTCACGGCTCTCAGCGCTGGGCACAAACACCTGCCACTGAACCTCTCGACCTTGGCCACATCTGGCCGGACCACCTGACACCTCCCCGAAATGGTCCAGGGTGACACTGCCCATGAGGTCGTGGCCCTGCACATCGTCAAAAACCAGGGTGAGGGCCTGTGGGTAGGGCTGGTAGCCCATGAGGACGCGGTCCAGGTCTCGGACACGACGGCCATCGTCCAGCCGGTACCGGTCCCTCTGTGGTGGCTCTTTGGCGAACTCAGGCAGTGGATAGTGGACAAAGTCTTCATCCAGGAGGAAGATCTCGGCACTGGTGAGCAGGAGTGTTTTGGGGCGCAACAGGCCTCTGCAGCGCCCAGGTGGGGGTGTGCCCACCTGGAATGCCTGCAGGTACAGCAGAATGCTTAGGGCTGGCGCCTTCTCTGGGTCAGCCATCTTTTGAGCCACGATGAATGTCAGGTCCCCGACTTCCTCCTCACTGGGGTAGGTGAACTTGACACGGCTTGAGTGGATCAGCTCATAGTTCTCCATCTTCCCTAGAGAGAGAGAGAGACGCCCATCAGGGTTGGAGTGTGGAGCAGGTATGTGGTGACGCTGGGAGTGCCAATAGCCCCAAGCTACCCAGCGATGGTAGCACAAGTTGCTGCCTATCACTGGTGGGAGAACACATTCGAAGGCCCTGCACCCATGCCCAGAGTGGAGCGACACTGAGATGCATCTTCTGGGTGACTGAGTGTTTGTTCTGCCTTGGAAAAAAACTGTAGTCAGCTAAGCAGGAAGAGACAGAAAAAGTGAGACAGGCAGAGGTGTTCTGGATCCTGTGTTAGTCCTTGGAGGGAGTGAGGAAGCCGCAGTCAGCCCAGGGGTTAGGTCTGCAGCCTAAGCTAGGCCAGAATACCTGTGGTCTTGTTTCCAAACTCAGAGTAGAAGTCCTTGTCGACAGGCTCAGGTGAGGGTGTGCGTTCCAGTGAGGAAAGCACAGCCATGAGGTGCTGGAGGAAGCAGTGCGTCAGGTAGCTGTCCCGAGTCAAACATGTGACCACCTGCACTGGGCAAGAGCCTGCAGAGAGTGGGCGGGTCACAGTTGCAGGCCCCTGCTCCCCGACCTTGTCCCTGCCTGTGGGGCCAACTCTAGTCTCTAACATTCAGCCCAGAGCTGAAGACCACGGGGGCCCACGTGGGGAAGCATCACAGGCCTGGGGCGATGCCCACTACTCAGGCCGGAAGGGCCATGACATTTTTCTGGAAGGGGATACAGAGGCATTAGGGAAAGAGCTTAGCTTTCTCTCTTCAGGAAGCATGAGTCAGAAACATCCTGCTCAAGAGCCCAAGGCCCACTCTGCCCGCCCGCCCAGCACTTTGCTGCCTGTTGCCTGCCTCCCTGTTCCAAGTCCTGGGGGTGAGCTCTGCACTCAGCAGTTCCTGAAGCTGCTTCCTCCCGCCCCTGGTGAATTGGCTGGTGAGCAGAGAGATAATTCTGCCTGCGATAACGTACCCTACCCACATATGGGGGGCAGGAGGTGGGAGTTCACTGGTGACAATGGCCATCACCCAGAATATGACAAAACACCATAGGTCACTCACCCGTCAGCCGGAAATACTGGTCAAAAAGCCCAACGTTGACTGCCTGCAGGTCACTGAGTTTTAAAACAAAGCACTGGGAGATGTGAAAGGGACTGTTGTTATAGTCAGTGTTTTTCTGATGCCAGAAATCTGTGATGGAGAGAAGGGGACTGAGCATGGTGGTGAGCGAAAGGGTCTCGGGTGCCTGGCTTTGTCCGGCAGAAAGGGGGACCCTCGGCTGACTGGGGAGGCACCACCACCACCCTTAGACACACAGCACCTCAGGGGCGATGCACTTGAGAGTCTGAACTCACCTGGTTTGGAATCATCAGGTGCCCCGCCAACGCCACAGGGCACAGGCGCCCGCAGAAGGCCCGGGGGACAGCCCCTTTGCTGGGGCCAGCTCCCAAGCATGAGCGGGGCCTGGCTTGAGGCTCTCCTGACGGCCCCAGGAGGGAGGACTGCTGTCAGCCCCTGCCCTCAGACAAGGGGTGCAGCCAATCGCTGTGGCCTAGCGCACCGCCGCTGGTCCGAACCCGCCATGCCTGTCTCCCAGGCTGCACTCCGCGGCCAGGCGCCGGCAGGCCCTGGCACCTACCTTGAAGAGGCTCTGAGAAGTAGCGGCGGAGGCCGTCGTGCAGCACAAAGTATACGGCTTTGGTGGAGAGCAGCACGCAGGCAGTCACCTCCAGCCCCGGGGTCTGGTAGAACACCACTGAAGACCACACGAGGTGCCTCAGCTCCTCGTTTTCAGCCTGGACACAGAGGAGCTGGGTTGGGGCCTGCAGCAGAGCGCCGGGCACAACAGCACCTTCTTTCCCAAGCCGGGCCTGGAGACACCCCCAGGCAAGGTGCTGCCTGGGACCCCATCGCCCAGGGGGTCATGCCCACAGCCTTGAGACCAGGGCAACTAGGCACCTTCGCTGCACCTTGTTTTTGTAAAGATTTATTTCACTTATTTATACACACAAGAACTAGGGTGTAGGCCAGAAGTGTGTGGGGTGTGGAGAGTGGTTGGAGGATTCACCAGAGACCGAGTGGGGAGCAGAACAGGTGGATCTACTGAAACACACTGCTGAGGGGAGCCGCGGGTGACAGGAGAGGTCTGCGTGTCGTGTGGGTCAGCTCCCTGGCCGGTGTGGTGCTGCAGTGGCTGCAGACCGCGTCATAGTGCTGCGACTTAACCCCTTGTGCCCCGGGGAAGCCCCATTGCACCTTAATGGGTGTCCAACTCAGAGCAGTGAGAAAGTGTGTGCAGTGAGGTGTGCCTAGGAATCTAAGCGAGGTGTGGCTCGGAGGGCGGCCATGGCAGAGAGGACACTGGCCTGAGGGTGCCCACGGCAGAGAGGACACTGGCCTGGGGACGGCGGCTGGGACCTACCTACCGAGGCCCTCAAATCTGGGAACAGCTGAAGCTGGAGGAGAAACTGGCACAGAGAAGTCTGAGAACCTGAGGCTGAACCTAAGGCCAGCCCCACCTCAGCCCAGCAGGATGGACCGCCACCTCCAGCCACACAAGTGCCACCCAGAGACCGGTGTGTGGGCCACTACCTCAGCAATGCTGCTGTGGAACAGCTCGATGACGGCGCTCCCCCGCAGGCTGGCAATGTGCCGGAGTGCCGGGCAGACGGGCAGGTGCGAGGGGATCTGGTTCTCCTCCGAGACGGACTGGATCAGGTGCTCGCTCGGATACTGGGCAGGGGCCTCTGCTTGTGCCAGGGACGAGGACTCTGCTGGGGTCTCCTCTGGGGAGGCCTCTGCTGGGGCCCGCACTGGGACCAAAGCTGGCACCGAAGGCTCTGCTGGGGCCAGAGCTGAGGAGTCTGCGGTTGCTTGGGCGAGAGCTGGTGCCTCCACTGGGCCTGGAGCTGGAGCCTCTACTGAGGCCTCCTGGGGTCGCTGGTCGTTGCTACATTTCCCAACCCCCCCCCCAAAAAAAACATCATATTAATGTGAGGACCCTGAATGAATACTGACATTACATGCACAGCCTCAGAGTGAAGGGATGTATGTGCCACACACCACCTTGGGGCCCCCTAGGAACTTCACCACAGTGGGCAGGTGCCAGCCCACTTTGGGGATGCAGGGGCATGTCACCTGGAGCCTCAGCACAGAAGCAAGGAGATGGGGAGACAGTCGTGCAGAGCTGCCCTCCAGCACTCGGAGCCCTCGGGGGGTTCTGTAGAGGGCACGGGACTCGAGCTAGATACGAGAGCACACTCGAATCAGCCAGGAAAGGGGGCAAGTGCCTTGGAAGCACCGGTCAGGGCACTGGGCTAGTGGAAGGAGGCAGACCGTGAGATGCCGGGGTACAGACAGGGTTTCCAATGCCTGCTGGGATGAGGAGACAATGAGCTGTGTCTTGGGAGAGGAAGGCCAACAAATGCCCAGCTGGGGAACCCTAGGGTATCTGAAGCCGGGGGGATAGAGACAGAGGCCCCATAAAGGTCCAAGGCCTGCTTGAGCCGCAGGTGGGGCTGATTGTGCCCCACGTGATTATACTGACTCAGGCAGACACTGCTGCTCTCAGCCCACGGGTTCCCTTAAGAAAGTCTCAGAAATGCAGAGAGGGGCCCTCAGCAATCCTAGTCTTCCAAAAAATGGGTATGGAGCTCACCAACGGGGTAGCAAGGCTGTGGACTGGGACCCCCAGGAGGGGGAGTGGACAGTGCGTCGCACGTTAAGGCTGTGCTGGCCCCACTGGGCACAGTGGAGAGGGCCAGCCCCTCCTGCCTGCTCTGACCGTTGATGGGATCCCAGGGACTAGTCACGTAGGACCCCACGTGGCAGCTTGTTTTGTGAAAGGACAGCTCTCCTCATCTGCAGCCGGAGGAGGTCAGAGCTGCTCAGCACCAAGCCCAAGCGAGCCAGGCGATGAGGAGCTGGAAAGGGAGAGTCAGGCCCGCTCACATCACAGAGACGCGAGGCCTGGTTTGGGACACAGCGCCGGAGCTCGCTGGCTCCTCCCAGCCCGTCCCAACCTGAGAGCTTGCGCTGGTCTCACCTGGCGCTGCCCTCGGCAGGCTGCCCCTCCCCAGGGGGACTCTGCGACTGGTCCCCAGTGGTAGGCATCTTGGCAATCACCACAGTCTTCAGGTCCTGCGGTGAGGCCCGCAGCTGGTTGTAGATGCGCAGGAAGTGGAACTTCTCATGGGGCAGCACGAAGATGGCGGTGACGAAGCGGTAGCCCACAAGCAGCTCAAGGACGTGGCCGTCAGCAAAGGCGCCCCGGGGCTGGGTGCAGCTGCGCGTGGGGTCGAGCAGCACGGTGGACAGGGGCACGCGGCTGAGCTTGAAGCTGTTGCGGTTGCGACAGTTGTGGGTGCCTCGGTTGGGCATGGGGTTGAAGTCAGCCTTGATGACGTTGAGGTGCTGGGGCGTGAGCAGCAGCCAGTAGGGGATGGCGGCAGACTTGACGGCCTCGGAGGGCGCGCAGCAGGAGCGCCGCACGGCCGAGCAGAGCGTGCAGCTGGCCCACTCGATGTTACCCGAGTAGTCGCCGGCGGCCGTCTGCACCATGCGCTTGTCGCTGTACACCAGGTAGACGGGGAAGCAGCCCTGGCTGCGCTCCTGGCAGCCCCCCGCCACCTTGTAGAAGGTGAGCAGCTGGCGGAGAAACTCCTGCAGACTGGTGTGGCTGCCGTAGAGCACGGGGCTGCACAGCATGGCCATGTGCTGTGGGGCGAAGCACGAGCGCAGGTCCGCATGGAACTCGTGCAGGTTGGCGGCGTCGGAGATGATGAAGAGCGTGTTCTCGCTGTGCCGCACCTTGAGCACCAGGCACAGCTCCGGCATGAGGAAGCCGAACTCCGTGAGGTCGCCGTGCGGGAAGCAGAAGACAAAGCGCAGAGACGAGAGGATGTGCTGGCTGCTGCCCCGAGACTCCTGGTGCGGGATCTCAAAGACAGCAATGCCGAAGTCGGTGAGCACGAGGCAGGCGGCGAACTGGCGGATGCTGCCCTGCACGTGGATCAGGAAGCACCACAGCACCTTGAGGATGCGGATGTGCTCCAGCAGGAAGTCCTCGTCTGCGCCCAGGGCCCACTCCAGAGCCAGGCGCTCCTCCTCGCCCTCCTCCTCTTCCTCCTCATCGTCCTCCTCTTCCTCCCGGCCTCCCTCCTCCTCCTCTTCCATGTCTGGGGGCCCCATTTCAAAATAGCGGTTCTCAGCAACGTCCTCCTCCTCCTCGTCGTCCTCCTCCTCCTCGCCTTGACCCTCTTCTCGCTGGTTGGCAGCTTCAATCCAGGCGGGCAGCTGCCGCTCGATGGCCTGCCGGATCAGTGTGCTCAGGCGCTGGATGAAGTCCTGGTTAGTGGCGGTGTAGCCAATGCAGGTAAAGGGCAGGAAGATGATCTGTCCGGAACCGGGCACCACCTGGACCTCCGGCTCTGCCTGGTCTGGGCTATGTGAGAAAAGGCCAGATCAGCGACACTGGACTGAGACACCCCGACTCCCGTGTCCAGAGATTCTGGCTGTACCCTGGGCCCAAGGAATCAAGCTGTAGGTCTCCCAAGCCTCTCAGATCAGGAGAACCCGCTCCCAGGCAAGAGGCCTGGTGGGTGCCGAGGAGTCCCAAAGCTGGGGCTAGCAGCTTAACTGGAGTCTGCACTCAGGGCTCAGATCGCGGGCAACCAACACAGTCGTGTCCACACCACACTGGCTAGCCCAACAGGAGTGAAACAAAAATTCCTGTTATTCAGAAACTGGCCCAGAACTCCCAAAGCAAGGAGAGCATGAAAGCAGGACTTCATTTGTTGACAAGAGTTCCCTTCAGGGTCAGTGGCCTCTGGAGGGTGAGGCGGGGGGTTGGGAGGTGAGCTAGGTGGCCCTCACATTTATTTTTTTTTTTTGGTCCTCACGCTTAAATTCAAGCTCCTCTTAGCCACTACTGCCCTTGTGAAAAAGCATATCCAGGAAAAGCCTGGGGACTCTCTTGTATAAATACTGTAGGTCTTCGGTCTGTAGGCTTGGCTTCGGAACAGGGGAGAACCCCTGGGCTTTCTCTCCTGGGTCCAGTAAGAGAACTGAATTGAGAATGAGAGAAAGACTGTGCACATGATTTTTTAAACTGCTCCTAAGAACAGGCTGGCCATCCTAGGCGCGTGGGCTGTGTGCTGAACAGGCCTTGATCTGCTGGCGCCTAGCGCAGTATGACATGGAGCAGAGGAAGGCCAGGGATTAGCACTTGGAAACATACCAGAGCCCGTCTCCTCTGTTTGTTTATTTAGAGAAAATAGTAGTCCTGGAGGAATTCCATGGGTAGATTTCTAACAAAATCCAACTGGCTGCTGAGATGCACGAATGCATGAAGGCCCAGAGCACCTTCACAACCTCTCCCTTACCTTGCACCACCAACGGCTCCTGGCACATCCCTTAACTCATCAGAGGGAGCCTGGTAGAAAAGGAAATGCAGTCAGCCCTCACCTGCTGCAGCCACTCCCTGGCTTTTACCCTGGCCGGGCACACCACCATCCCTCACCATCTGGTGAGAGCTCCTCACTGTCTTCACAGACCACTCTGGGGTTCTGGGGCCTGGAGAGGTGGGCACTCACCTATTCTGGCAGTTCACAGCAGGGCTGAGATTCCCACCCGCCTGTCTGATTCCTGGACCACACCATAGCCTCTCAGTCACTCTGCAGTTCAGTTTGTGCAGCTGTGTCAGGCACTGAGGGCTCCATGTGCCATCCTAGAGGACCCCCGTTGGACAGTGGACCGATTTGGCAAATGGCCAGCAGAGTATAGGCTCTGTGGTAGCCAGGTAGGTCCTCCTAATCTCCAAATGGTGGGGAAGACCTGGAGCTGGGAGCCTCCCTCCCACTGTGACCCTGCAGTGGGTAAAGGGAAATGGCGCCTTCAAGTGCTGGGCAGAGTGAGGCTCTGCAAACTGCCCTAGTGTCACAGGCCTGTTGCCGAACAGACAGGGCTGGAGGGAGGATAGGGCACCAAGCACATTCTCCAAGCACACAGCAACTAATCACACACACCACCTCCTCTCCTCCCAAGACACAGGAAGCAACTCTGAAGCATCAGCACCAGGCACAAAGGAGAGCGAGGGGCTGACCCTGTCCCATACTATCAAAGTGACATGAAGGCATGGGCAGAATGTTCCAAGGGTGCCAGGTGACAAAGGAGACACTGTTCTTGATGGCACTGGAACCCAAACAAGGTCAAGGTCTTCTGAACTACTTTCTCCAGAGAAGTCTGCTTACAAGGGCTAAAGGTAATGATTTTACCCCCTGGGCCCAGTGAAAGAGAACGCTTCCCTTCAACAGAATCTAGGGAAGAAAGAGAAACAAGCATATACCCTTAACCAAAGAGCAGAATGTACCAAGCACTGATAACATGTGCAGTAGTAACTCCAGCCAGGCTGTTGACTTCCAGCCAGCCTCTGGTTGCAGAGGTAACCACTCCCTAGACAGAGGAGGAGGGCATTACCTGTCCTGCCGGGATGGACTCCAAAGAATCAGAGCATCCCCGGGCGATGGGCCGGTCCTCAGGAGTCAGACTGTCAGTGGATGAGAGGCTGCTGGCCAGGGCCTCCTCTTGCACGAACATGATTCCTGGAGAGACCAGGGGCGGGGGGCAGGGTGTAGGGCAGGTGGGGCAGGGAAAGCAGTCACTCAACAATCGGGCTGGGCCATTGGGCTGCTGCATGTCTGGGGGCTAATGAAACCCCCAAGCCCAAACATGGAGTTTAGAAGGAAATGTTAAAAACTGAAATCTTAAAACAATTTGAAGAACAAATGACTGCTAATTTCATCTCAAGGTAGGAGGAGACTGAGCATAGACATAAGAAACTGAGGTGTGGTTACAAAAAACTAAACTGTAAGTAAAAAAGAAACCTAAGATAAATCAAAATGAAAAAAGGAAAAAATGTTTGAAATAACAAAGGCTTTATATTTAATCTATAAACCGCTCTTACAGATTAACAGAAAATGAGGGGATACCAGGAGGCTGCAGAAAGAGAGAAGACATTCCACAGAAGGACACCAGTGGATGTGACAGGGAACAACAATGCTCACCCTGACAAATGAGCAAAGTAGGGCAAGCTGGAGTGAGACACCAGTTTTGTCTCTCACTTTGGCAAAGGTCAGACTGATCATATGGCTTGAACTGGGCCTAACTGGGCAGAGGCAGGCGCTGGCGTGGGCGCTGGGAGAGCAGTTTGGCGGTATGTCCATCAAGAGCCTTAAATGTGGTCAGTGCTAGTGCTTTTTCCCAGACATGGACTGAGAGGGGCACTGCCTCCCCGACTTGACATCGCTGAGCTTTGCAGACACACAAGGGGACAAGGCCCTTCTTGTAGGTTCCAGTTTCCTCCAAGGCTTTAAGGACAACCCATGCCCAGTGCCAGCAGCCTTTCTTGCAGGACACATCCCAGAGAGCCTCCCCGGGGCCAACCCCATTGGACAGCACACTGACTCATGCACCCTGGAAGCAGGCGGTATTTCAACCCCGCCGAAACTGATGAATACAGCGTGTCTGGGCCCGTTACTTCAGGTATTTCAAGACTGACCGAGGGTATTGCCTTTTTTAACATCTTCCTAGTTGCACCTGATTGGTGAAGGACAGGCATTAACCCGTGTATCTATGAAGGTCTGGAGGAGCCCAGGGTTTCCCTCCTCAGTCTGGCTTTACCACCAGTCAGTCACCACATCCCAATGAAATGACTCAGAGCTCTCAAAGCCCCTGAGATCACAGACTCTCATCTAGCTCAGTCACTGCACAGGGACGGGACGATGCACGCAGTGCAGGTCCAATGCCTGTGGCTTACGCAGACACAGGACCCGAGTTCGGACACCCGCACATCACGAAGCAACATGGCTATGCACAGGCAGCAAGCAGTCATGCATGAAGCGCACGATGGGGTCTAACCTGGGCTTTTGTCTTTGTGGCTGCTCTCTCCTGCAATAGAGCCCTCTCCTACTCATCCTTTAAGATGCATCTCAAACACCATGTCCACTACAAAGACCTCTCTGCTCTGGAATATGACCTCCCGCCTCTTCCCAAGGCTCCCCAATCAATCTGCCCTGCTGTATCTTGGGCATACAACTCAATTCCCCAAGAGACTCCAAGTTCTTTAGCAGCACTGTCCTGTTCACCCTGAACTCCCACTCCCCCGCCCCCACTAAGAACATAGGAGAGGGAAGCCCTTATCGACCACTCTTCGTGAGCCAGGAGAGCAGTACTAAGCACTTCCCCAGCATCAGCTCATGCACACCTCTCATTTATTTACCACAATTCATCAAATCTAAGATGCGTGGATGTGGCGCCATCTTGGTCTTAGCAGAAGGTGTCCTCAGAAGGTTTTCACACGACTCCATCAGGAATACCAGCTGGCTGACAGCGACTATGAGATGCCACTGACTGAAAGACGCATCTCAATTTCAGAGAAGTCACAAGGTGGATATGTGTGCATCTTAGAATCGATGAAGTAAGGTGGGTCCACTTCACAGTTGGGAAAAGAGCATCTGAGAGGCTACATGAGGGTGCTTGCGTGTACATGGCCGAGGAAGGCGGGACACGTCTAACCCCAGGTGCCTACTCCTAAGCGCTTCTCACTGCTGCCCCTCAGCCCCGAACCTGGCTAGAGAACCAACCATGGCTTTTTGCATTCAGATCCTCTTGGTCACAGTGCTCCGTGGCTCCAACAAGCTGGCTAACAGTTCTGATGAACAGAGACCTGGTGTCCACGGGACAGCCCCCCTTCAGGCAAACCCAAGTGCTGTTTTTTCACAAGTATGTTCACATCTATGGAATGAGGCTGGAAGGGAAAGCTGTTCTCATCAGGAGAAATCCGTGCCCCTCCAGGTAAGACACAGTAGCACAAAGTTAAAACACAAACACCTGTGGATTCCTCCACACTGAGGAAAAAGCAACACTTTCTCACCCCTTCCACCCCCCAGCCTTGTTGGAATGCTGAGGAAATGTGGCTAGAGACAGTCTCTCCATTTCCTTACTGGACTGTGGTCTGTACAAACAAGGGGGCAGGAAGGGCCACTTAGGATGGGACAGGGACGTCGGGAGAGTACAGACACGGGGCCCAACCTTTGTTGTTTCTCACAAAAAGGAAAGAGATGTGCACACCAAGACATCCACCGCAGTTTATTTATAAGAGTGCAAATTTGGAAACATCTAAATGTCCAGTAGCTGGGAAAGGGAACACAGACAGTGAGCAGCACTCTGGCGAGCCCCCAGAGTGAAGAAAGTGAGGAAAGGGGACAGAGGCCTAGGCCTCAACACCAGTGGGCTGTGGCTGAGGCCTTGGGGACAGACACCTCTCACCTGTGTGGTCTCTTCCTTATCAGCTGCTCTGCTCCACTGTGTTCACTCACACACTCACTCATTCGACTTCACGAATGTTGACTGAAGACCTGCTCCCTGGCCTTGAGGACCAGCTGTACCCCCTTGGCCCCAGCAGCTTGGTCCTGCAGCTCCCTGCTGGCTCACCAGCGCTGTGGGCTGCCTTAAAGGCCTTTGGCCTCACAGCAGGAGGTAGAATCAGGGAGGTTTCCTCACAACAGTATAAACTCCTCTCCCCTTGCACATTAAAAAAACAAAAACAAAACAAAACAAAACAAAAAACCCAAAATTCTCAGCCAAGAATGTTACTAAAACCAACCACCACACTCTGACAGCTAACAGCACTGCCCCATTCTCACGACTCTGCAGCACATGGTCGCAGCGGGTGCGCGCCCCAGCTGGGCTTTCCGCCCTAACCTAAGTACTCGCTCTCCCTACGAGCTCGTCCTCGCACTCTTCTTCCTGCCAAGCCTCCCTCTCGCGCATGTGATGGCTGCAGAGTATACTGTACCAGGGCTTAACCCCCCTCTCAGCCTGACGTTGGTCACATCCTATGTTTTGCTAGCATAAACTGCTGCGGTGAGCATTTCCCCTCCCCTTCCCATTATCTTATCCCACTAAGATAAAATCCCCACCATTGGGGTTACCAGGTCAAGGGGTGGGAACGTTTTTCTGGCTCTTGAAACATAGGGTCAAACTGTTTTCCCAAGACCTCACACCAAGTTCTGCATCTCCAGGAGCCCGGGCGGGCGGCGTCTTTCCTGTGTGTCCCGAGCCTCGGCTCCACTCGGGATGGCACACCCTCCCCCTCTTCCGTGGGGGCCAGGCCAGCAGACACTCTCATGGGACCTGCTTCACTCACTCATCTCCGAGGATGCCTGGGTTCAGAGGTGAAAGCCCTTTGAAAACGCTAAGACAGTGGGCAGGTAAAAGGGACTGGTCTTCCATGGGTCCATGGACAGCCCACGTAGCCCCACAAACAGTGTTTGAGGGCTGGGTCATACCACAAGAACCACAGAGAGACAGGCAGTGATAAAAAAACAAAAAACTCCCCACATAGGGATAAGGTGCCTGATTCAGGAAGTATTAAAGTCGACTTCCTGTTAACAAGGAGCCAATCTGCTCACATTGCCAGTGGGGGAGTGAGGGCCTCATGGTCCAACAGCCCCAAACCTGGTCAAAAGTAGCCTCAGGGCCCCCTCTGACACCCAGAGAAACTGGATGTGGGCTTCAGAACAACTGGGGGCTCACAGTAAGCCAACAAGGCCAGGAACCTTGCGCACCACCGAGGGCAGCTGGCCTGTGGCAGACCACAGCCTCCCTGCCCTTGAGCCCTGCAGAGAGCAGGTGCTAGGACCTTCCCAGCCCAGTCAGGGGACCCAAGCAGGGCCTCTGCAGCTCTGCTAGACAGACCATACATACACGATTACCTTGGTTGGAGAGGATAGGCTGGGGCAGAGAGGCTGAGCTCGGAGCCACGGTGGGCGGGGAGCTGCTGGGTCTGACACCAGGAGCAGCCAAGAGCCGGGAGTCCTCACTGACCTGAAGAAGAGGGGCCAAGTCAGCCAGAAGAGAGCACAAGAGAAAGATCAGGAAGGGCGTCATAGACAGGGATCAGAGTAGGGAGGCCCAGCAATTCTCAGAAGCACTGGTGACAGCAAAGGTGTCACGCCTAATCCCGGCACCCCCAAGTGGCAGGTACTATCACTATGCCCACCCTGTGTTCAGTGGGAATTAATGGCATGACTTGCCAAGGCCATACAGCCTTAGTAGGGTGTAGCCAGAGCTCAGAGGTCTCTCCCAAGACCCAGTTCCACTTCAGAGTCAGCTCCTTTCTCAGCTGGCTCTTCGCTGCTGCTCCGCCCACTTCTTACACAAAGACCCACCTTCTTCTCAGGGTTGTTCAGCTTGGACTTGACCTCCTTGGCTTTCTGAATCGCTTTTAGCACTTCCACAGTGTCCAACTCTTTCTCTGTAGTTGCTGTGCTGTCCAGACAGACCTATGGAGTCCATAAAAGCTATCGAAGTCAGGGCTGGCAAGCATGGTGGGGACAGAGCAACGCGGAAGTGCCAAGGTGTGGGCCAGGCCTGGTGAGGACACAGACGGCCTCGGGAGCCTCAGTCTGTGGGAGCTGAGCTCATCGCCATCTATGGAAGTGACCTGGGAGTTCCTTAGGGTGACCTAGGGTGGTTCCACACTGGGCAGCATCTATCTTGGGGAGTCCCTCTCGAAGAGAGGGAGACCGGGGATTGGGGTCCACTGAGAAGGCTCCTAGAGGGCTGGGGCTGGAGGAAGATGGTGACTGAACTAAGCCTCTCATTACAGCAGAACCCAGATCAGCAAAGTGCAAGGGAAGGCCTCTGGGCCAGAAAACTGGGGAGGCAAGGGCATGGGGAGCAGGCAAGGAGTCCCCAGCAGTTGGGGTCAGCAGGCAGTGTGGGCTAATGAGGGAAGCTGATCTCCAGAGCCTGGAGAGGAGCTGACACTGCAACATGTGGTCTGACAGCCTCCCAAGGACTGAACAGGGAAGGGAGGAGACGATCTTGTCAACACTGTCTTGATAGCAGTGAGAAAGGGGCACTTGGGGCTGAAAGAGATGGAGAGGGAGTGTAGGAAGGTGTGCGAAGATGCAAAGAATGGAGACAGGTGTGTTCGAGACCGAGACACTGAACCTGGCTAAGAACCTGCTTGTTTGGCACAGCACAGGCGGCCACTCACCCAGCTGGCAGCAGATAATCGGTACATCTGTAATGGCAAGGGTGGGCAAGCCCTCTGGACTTGTAGTCTATCGCAAGAGATTGCCCAGGAAATGCGATTAAAGTTTCTTATTTTTGACTCTTGCCTCCAATAAACGTCACTGTTCAAAAACTGGAGGACAGTCCCCTGGCCTGGAGCCGTGACAGAGGTAACAAGAGGGAAGACGACTGGGGAAAACAGTGGCTGGTGGCCCCCAAGAGGGAACGTGAGGAACAAAGAAGTCTTTTTTGGGGGAGCAAAGGACTCCGCAGAATTAAAAGGCCCTTTAGGAATGGACGTCCTTCTGAAGCAGGCAAGCAAGGGACAGTGGGCAGCCACCCCCCCAACCCCCAGCTCTGCCCAGGTGAACTTGGGCCATCTGAACTGTCTCTCTGACAGAGCTGACACCCCTCTCCCCCATCACCAGCAGCTTACCTCGGAGGCCCTCTCTCCAAACTGAGCCAGCACCTTGGTCCTGTAGTCGGGAATGATGCTCAGAGGGTTGTTCAGCAGGGCAACGTGCTCAAGACACGGGAGGCTGCCTATGCATTTGACTTCTTCCATCTGCAAGGCATGAGTTCTAGTCCCAAGTCCCTTATTTTCACACTTTAGTAACATGATTGGAGGTGGGGCTTGAACTCATGATGCACTGGTTGATGACAACTTGATAGTGCTGAGACTTTAACCCCTGCACCACCAGGGAGGTCATGATGACCCCTTTTAAATAAAACAATGTTTATCATTCTCCTCGGTGATTAACACTGAGGCCCACCCATGCCAGAACCTGGAGACCCGGGGCACATGGCTTACCTGCTCAATTCTGTTGTTGCTGAGATCCAGGTTGACAAGGGAGTAGAGTTTGTGCAGGCTACTCAGACTCTCCAAGAGGTTGCCTGCCAAATTCAGAGTCTTGATGTTTCCCAATTTGGTGTGAACCCCTTCCAAGGTGGACAGCTTGTTATAAGACAGGTCTAGATGCACGAGGTTGTACAGGTGCTACAGCAGCACAGAGAACAGGGAAAAGTGGCTCAGGTCAAGAGTTGCAAAGAAAGGCTGTTGTGGGTCTCTTAGCCTACGATGATCATTTGGGAAGGAAACCCCCTTGAGTCCCCACGCAGGTAGAGTGCAGGAGCACCCACAGGGTCAGAGTGAGTTTTAAAATCCGGTTATGTGCCTTCATGAGAGAAATGAGCCATGTGCATCACTCAATGTGTTTTTATGAATCTTTTTAATTCTCTGGAGCTATAGCAACTATCACTTAGTGCATCACAGGGACCCCATGGGACAGCAGGAGTCCCTGCCCCGACCAACTCAGGTGCAGACACCTTTTGGGTGCCTGTGAAAGAAAACTCCAGGGTATGGCCACACTGCTGGGGCTGCATCAACCTTGTGAGTGATCAGGAGACTGGACAGGACCCGTGGGACACTTGCAGGTGGCAGCAGTGTCCATCTGCTCATTACCTGCAGATTGTCCACAACCAGCACTCCGTTGTGACTCAGGTCCAGGAACTCAATCTTGGGAATCAGTTTCTTGTGAAAGAAAAGACAAGATCTGAGAATTGGTGGATGAATACCCATGGACTTTCTCTTAGCCACAGGATCCTGGGCTGGCCGTTTCTGATGGCTGATGTGACACCTCCGGTGGCCACCCAGCACCACGCCCACAGGAACACAGTGCAGAGCACGCTGTTGTTACAGAACACTTGATTATGAGAATGACACAGTAAGGTCCCAAAAGAGAACAAGTCCATCCTTTTTCAACCCTACCCACAACCACCAAGAAGCATAAATTAAGGAAATACACATCTGGAATCCACGGAAGGGTTTTCTGTTCCACAACCTGGAAGCTGATGCCATCACTTAACTGTTTTTTGATTTACATCAAATGTATGTGTAGTTACTGAGTTCAACTGGGTCTGAGCACCACCTCATCTAATTTATACAACTCCAACATACGTAGCATTGGAAACAGGTTTTCTGTAATCCTTCTAGAGAAAGGCTGGTTAAACACCCACCCTCAGGGCTGGTTAGGCCAGTGAAGCCCCTGGGGCCCACCGCCGAGCTCCTACCACAGACTCATCAATTGCAGAGATGCGGTTGTGGCTCAGGTCCAGCGTGGTCAGTGCTTGCCACGTGGGTATGATGGCAGTCACAGGGCCCTCCAGGGCTGTGCCTTCTGGCTCCCACTCATCAAATTCTGAGGCTTCAGGAACAAGGACTTCCTGTGTAAGAACATCTGTTGAGCACACTCTTGGGCCCTCACGCAACACTCATTGGCAGTACAATCATTGCAAAATTCAGGAAGGGCTTGAACATATTTAGCATGTGGAAGTGGACTTGCATTTAAATTGGGCTTCATATGTCTTCAAATGATTGTGAAATAAATGAAAAGCTCAGCAACATAACCACCACTTGGAATATATTTTGGTCCCGCTTCAGGAGCAAATGCTTTTCAAGCCCCCAGGGCTCTCTCTGCAATATGGTGATGCCTTTTCTAGCCTACATCGCAGAGACTGAGGTCAGAAAGCATTTCCAGTTAACTACGCTTGGCACAGGGGTCCCACAGTGAGCAGGTGGCCTATTTTAACCATTACTGAAGGGTAAACGTCAACGCCAAGATAGGGACAGCAGCACAAAGCACAGGGACACAATCAGAAAGGAGGCAGGCATGCCCCCTCATCTGACTTTTTAGACCCGAAGACCTTTCCTTTCTCAATGGACCACTTTGGAGAGTCCTTATGGAACAGGCTCTCTACACCCTGGCTCTGTACAAGCTTCCTTCTTTCAGCCAATAACCTGAAGAGATCTGAGGAGATTTTCTACCAAACCCCAGTCTGGATCAGACACTGTGAGTTATGAAACTGTCCACAATGGAAAAAAATAAAATAAAAAATGAAAGTATCTGCTATGCTTTTTCTTTACCTGGAGGAGGATTTTAACATTACTAATAAGCGATCCATAAAAACGCAAGTAGAAAACAAACCTATTTCATTCTCAATTTCAGTACGTGTGTTGCTGACTTACAAAGGGGCTAGAGTATCTACAACCGCACCCCACGCACTGCAGCCCACTGAGGATAAGATACAGCAAATGCTTGTAAGCCAGTTTCTTTAGCTTCGAGGAACACATACATTAACCTCTCACTGCCACTTGCCACTGAGTAACAATTTGCTCATCAAAAACCAATGACTTTGGGGGGTGGGGGGGAGGGGAAAGAGAGTTCCCTAAAGTATCTTGTCTAACAGTGTAGATTTCTGATGAAGACCAGACTACAGTATGTCACGGTGTCACCACCAGAAGGTCCCCACTTGAGTGTGACCCAGGAGCAGGTCTGGTTTCTGGCAGGCAGGTAGGGGCAGGGAGGGATCACAGTGTAGACCCTGCCCAGAAAACATCCCTGGGTGGGAAACAAGCAGCACTGACCTTCATTGAGGTTGCAGAGAAGCGGACGCTCATGGTGGCTAAGGTGGGCTTTGATGCTACCAGTCCACGAATGTGCTTAGCATCACAGTGACTTATCTGGAACAAGGAAACACTGTGTTTCAGAAATAGCATCTTTGCTCCATCAGCAGCCTAAGAGTAGGTGTTTGTCACCCATACGCAAAAGGAGCACAACCATCGGTGAGCCCAAACCCTCAGAGACTGAAGGCAACTCAAAGTCTTTGTCCCACTGTTAGAGCTGCCTAAACGTTCTCTGTGGTTATCTAGTGAGACTCACAATGAACCGTGAACCCCATGTTCCCTGCTGCTTGGGGGGACAAGTAGGTACACAGAAAACACGGGCCCTGAAGAGCAAGGGGCTTCCGCAACACAGCCAATGTGGTAGTCTCTCCTGCTCGCCTAGCCCCCGTTCTCTGGCATCAGCTGTCCTGCAGTGAGTGGTGGAGGAGTACAGTCAAAGTACCCCCCAGGGCTAAGCAGCCAGGCTCCAAGCCTCAGCCAGCTAAGTCAGGGCTGGGTTGGGCACTGCTCTAACCTACTAGTCCTTACTTGGCCTGCCCTGGTCAAGGCAGACACCAGAAGCTCACATCAAAGGAAATGGTCTCCAAGGTCTCTAAGACCAGTCCGGAATGCTCTTGGCAGACCAGTTCAGAATTGGCTGAATTCAGACCCTAGCTTTCTCAGTAACTGTGTTGTTCTGGCCAAACTTCCCTAAACCTCAGTTTCCTCCACTGTAAAATGGAAGTAGAAGTGCTCACTTCATGCTGACAATGGGATGGTGTCATCAAGGAGTAGACATCAGACACAGGGCTGAATACAAAAGCCAAGTTCAAGAAATACACTTTAAGTGGAAAAAAATATTGAATATTGACTCCCCTTTTATTTAAAAAATGGTCTTGAGTAATGCAAAGTTTTTCTTGAGGTACAGGTGCATCGAGAGCAGAACTCTCAAGCCCCTTGCAGATCTGCCTGGGGCCTTGGGACTAGCTCTGCCTGATCCTCAGGATGGCTTCCTAGATTTCAACTCAAACAACGAAAATACCCAGTAGGAACCAGCCCTGGTTCCATCCTGTCCAAATGCTGTCCAAACTAGGAGTGGAGACATGCAGACCCAAGAACAGGAACCTGAATTCCCTAGATGCCATATACGGTAAAATTCAAAAGCAATAGTTACCTTGTGATTAAACCTAGACATCTGACATCAACAACAGTCAGTCAGAAGACCATCCCTGTGCAGGCTCAGCCCTGACTGTACTCCTGTAGCTCTGGCCTTACCTCCACCTGGTGAAGAGACTTGAATATTGACAGATCAAAAGGCAGGAATTGCTCCTGAATGTTGCTGGTCCCCAAAGGTCCTTCTGTGCCAGAAACCTACAGCCACAGATACAGCTCAAATTAGGATGCTGCTGCAACCTGTTCCCCTCTATCACTGGATAGGGCCACAGCAGCTGCCAAACCCCACTAAAATCTTTGCTTGGCCATGTGAGGTACTCCCCGCACACCACTTCTGTGGTCAACAAAGCAGGCTAAAGCTGAGGTTTTAAAGCAAGGGGACATGAGGTCACGATTGCCCCCTAGTGCTCAAAGCCAGAATCACAGTACCGAGATCGCCAAAGGCACTCCTTTCTCAGCTGGCCCACAGTCTCTTTCACACAACCGAGGGGCTCTCGTGACTGGGTCGCTATGGCTTTACCTTAAGGTACTTAAGGCGACAGGTGAAATCCAGGATGTGCCCGAGGTCAGTCTTGGCATCCCCGCTGGCGCAGGTGGGCTTTCCTTGCTGCAGCTGCTCTGTGACGGCATAGAGCTGTAGGGGTCCAATGGCAAAGACCTCGCCAGCCCCCAGGAGCTGTTCTCCTGCAACAGCCATGTTCCATGAGGTGAGCACCAGCCCCAGTCCTGGCCAGGGTATCTGCCTATTCAGTCAACAGCTAACACCTATATGTACACTGCACAGCAATAGGATGGGGCCACGACCTGAGCTCCTGAACTCACACTGGGCACAGGGCAGACGCTGGGTACAGGATTTCGAAGGAGGGAAGGGCCATGGGAATGAGTGGACAGTGAGCCTCCCTGAGGTGAGACTAAGTCCAGTCCTGAGGCACCAAGCCAGGGTAAGGCTGATGTGAGGTTGCACTACAGGCAACAGACACTGTCATCTCGCCAGGGTACATGTTTTGAGGTTAGATTCTAAGACAGCAGGCAGGAATTCTGAGCCAGCAGACACATTTGATTCTTGATCTGCTTCTTCCTGCTACGAACCCTCAAGCAGGCCCCTGGTTACTCAGTATTCTCCCCGTACCTCCTGGGAGGAAAGTAGTAAGATGGTGAACACAGGACTGGACCATCACATGTCAGCTACCTCTCTGCCAGGGCCTAGATCCATGGATGGCTTCTGCTTGCCATCTGAAACCTTTCAGGTAGGGACAAGCCAGGGGCAAGAAAGCAGCAAGCCACACATCTTTCAGAATTCTACCATAGCGTTGGAATTAATTCTGAACCTCGGCTTAACCTTGAACATGGGGCTCAAGAGTCTTAAGGCAAAGGATCACAGGTCCTCGGAACTAGCTGCCTGAAAAGCTGGCAGGGAGGCAGGCTTGGCTACAGAACAGGTGCATGGATTTGGGCAACCCAGGGAAGGGGCCCTGGCAAGGACTCACTTTGCACAGCACAACAGATGGAGTTCTTTGCCAACTTGGACCCTTGACAGCTTAACTGGGTGAGCAAGTTACACCCACTATCTCAGGATACCTGGCCACATACCTTTGTCAAAGAGCTCCTCTGCCAGTGCTGCAGTGATGCCATTTATCTCCTGCAGAGTAAGCAGAACCCAGGTTAGAAAGTCTGACTGTTCCCCAGCCCCCAGGACATAGCACATTTCCTGCTGTCTACCCCGTCTGCTGTGGAAACGCCAGTTCTCTAAAAAAGTGGGGGTGGGGAAAAGAGAGGAATAAACCAAAAATGAACCAAGGTGTTTAGAACAGGAAACAAAAGAGTCCGAGTTATATGGACTACATTTGAAATGACTCATCAAAAGAATGGAAAGCAGACTTGTGCCCCAATTCCACAAACACAGGAGCACTGGCTGAGTACACACGCCCCAGGAGGCTGACGAGGTTTGGCTATGTTAAGGGCTGCTGGGCAGTCAACAGCAACCAAAACTGGTCCTGAGAGATCCCAGGAGAGGGTATGGTAGAGTCCTGTTTCTTCCAGAACAGAGGTGCCCAGTATTCTGTTGAGATAATGGACCTCCCAGAATCAACCTTCTCTAAGAGCGACCAGTTCTTTTTTTTTTTTTTTCTGTTTCAAAAGTATCTTAGGAAAGCATGAACACTTGTTCTCTTCCTGTGCTCATCCATCATGTCTTGCAACAGTATCATTTGGGGCCCAGGGTCATGGGAAAGCGGCTAGGACAGGATTTCCTTTTAGAACCACGTGTTTAAGGAGACACGGAGAGGACAAACCTTGAGTCCTGGTAAGAGCTGAGGTATTGGAACCTTATTCCTTGCTGGGCAACAGCCTGCATGCTTACGATGCACTGGCTCACTGAATCCCAACACCCTATGTGAGTAACAGGTTATTCTGAACCGTCTTTCACAGGTGAGCAGACTGAGGTGGGGAGGTGCTGCTACTCTCCAGTTTTTTCTGGCCAGAGACTAGCAATGCCACACTCTCATGCACTTGGCCTTAAGCTTCCCTCTGTACACACCCAGCAGTTTTAGCACTTCAGTGGTGTAATCGTGGGGCTGGCCCCACATCCACAGCTAAGAATTTTAACTGACAGATGGCAGCCAACAGGACTTTCCATAAGAGGGTCCAGATGGAGGCTGCGCAGTGGCCTCCGTTGCTCACAGGAACGTCCCCGCCACAAGGACACGCCATTCATGTGTTTATGGGACTCGGGCGGCACCAGGTGCAGGAGACGAGCTGTCCTGTTCCTGTTTTTCTCTTCTGTCATTTGTCTCTATCTTTTATACATAATGTCTATTTTAAAGGTTGTTTATCCAAATATGTTCCCTCTCTGTATGCCTTTTATCTTCAGTCACAGCAGTTTTTCAGACTTAAGAGAGGGTTTTCATGTTTATGTTGTTTAATCTGTGATTCTTTTCCTTTGTGATTTCCCCAGTCCAAGATGATAAAAATTCCCACTTTTTTCTCCTACTATTTTTATGGTTTCTTTTTAAAAAAAAAGTGTCTCTTTTAGGAAATGCAGATGGCCAACAGGCATATGAAAAAATGTTTAACATCACTCGTAATAAGGGAGATGCAAATTAAAACCACAATGAGATACCACCTCACCCCAGTGAGAATGGCACATCTTCAAACAACTATCAACAACAAATGTTGGCGAGGATGTGGAGAAAAAGGAACTCTCCTGCACTGCTGGTGGGAATGCAAACTAGTACAAACACTATGGAAAACTGTTTGGAGGTTCCTCAAACTGCTAAACATGGAGCTTCCCTACAACCCAGCAATCCCACTGCTAGGTATCTACCCAAAAGACATGAAAACACTGACTGAAAAAGATACCTGCACCCCCATGTTTATTGCTGCTTTATTTACAATTGGAAAAACATGGAAGCAGCCCAAATGCCCAAAAGTAGATGACTGGATAAAAAAGATGTGGTACATATATACAATAGAATATTACTCAGCAACCAAAAAAGAGAAACACATGTCTTTTGCAGCAACTTGGATGGAACTGGAAAAGATCATGCTTAGTGAGATAAGCCAGAAAGAGAAAGAAAAATACCGGATGGTTTCACTCATAGCAGGAGTATAATGGACCAGGTGGAAAATAACAAAAATAATGAACAACCATATACCAGAGACTTTTTGTGGGGGTGGAGTGGGGAATAGGATCAAAAACGGGGTGGGGGGAGGGAAATGCACGGGATTATGGTGATGGCACATGGGTGACTTGGTGATGGGAAACCCGCGGGGATTACAATTGAGATGGAAAAAAAAATAAACTTCTGTAATAATAATAAAAAAAATGTCTCTTTTTAAAAAATGTGTCTGTTTCTTTAATCTTCTTGAAATTCAGTTTAGGTAGTATGTAAGAGTAACTCCTTTTTCCCCTCACAAAAACAAAGCAATGAGAGAAAAGTGAGCAAAGGCAGCCCCAGCATTCAGGAGCCCAGTCGGCAAATGCAGGGTCAAGGCCAAAGGCCATCTGAGGTCCAAAGCAGGTTCTGAGCAGGAGAGCTCCAGCTTGCGAGAGAAACTATCAGTTCACAGTTCACTCTGAAGTTCAACTTCAGTCTTTTGCAACAACTTAAACTCAATCACATTATCCTTAACTGCTGTGAAAGACTGAAGGTTAAGAAGAGCTTCAAATGATTCAAATACTTGTTTCTCCATTGACAGTTCTGAAAATCAAACTCTGACTATAAATCAGTACTTCCCCATCCTCTCTGCAGCCAAAGTTGGCTGGAAAACCTTAAAAGATAAGAATCCCGGACAGCTCCCAGAAGCTGCCCATCCACACCTGTCACTCCCTGAGAGCAGCTTCTGAGCCTCTCCCTTAAGTCCGAGACACTGACGCTGAGGCTCACAGGTCTCACAAGGAGCCTGCTCACCAGAACCTAACAGCCCTCACCCTCAAAATTCCCCTTCTTCAGGCAGCTGGCATCAACCCAGAAAGAATTCGAAGATCCACCCCAGGCTAAGGGGAGAGGGCTAGAATTTTCGGAAACTACAAAAAACTGAAGGATAGTGAGGTCCAAGGGCTCTTGTTAAGCAGAGTGCAATCTAAGCAATCTGAGCAATCTAAGAAATAAACTAACAATTACCACCCAGCTCTGTACGGAGCAGGAAGTGTGCTGTTATGACACTATCAACTGAATTTCCCAGGCTTATCTTTACCTTGGGAGATTCTTAATGAGAGGAACAAAGAAATGCCTCAGCAACCAAATCTAGGCACTGTTCTCCTGAGAGAAGTATTTTGTCTGCCTCCTCAGGGAATATTCTGGTTAAACTATAGACCTGGATGCAGAACAAAGATATGCAAGGTCAGGTTTTTTCTGGGGCCAGAAGTGGAGAGTGGGTTATGTCTCAGTGTCCCCTAGACTAAGCTGCTACAGGTGCTGCTGGAAGATCAGCTGTGGAGACACCCCACTAAATCTGTGCTGAAAGAGGGACTTAAAACACTTTAGGAGCCATGTAAATTTGACTGAAAAAAAGATATTCATTATACCTCACTAAAAACTTCAATTAAGGTCCTCCCTGGTGGCGCAACGGGTTAAAGCACAGCACTGAGAAACTAAAGCCACTTCTGCATGAGTTCGATTCTCGCCTGCCCCGGAGGTGACCACATGGCG